CAGACAGAGAGAGAGAGACAGACAGAGAGACAGAGAGAGATATATAGAGAGAGAGACAGAGACAGTGACAGAGAGACAGTGACAGAGAGAGAGAGAGAGCGCGAGAGAGAGACAGAGAGACAGAGAGAGAGACAGAGAGAGAGAGAGAGGAGAGAGAGAGAGAGAGAGAGAGAGAGAGAGAGAGAGAGAGAGAGAGAGAGATAGAGAGAGAGACATACGACATTATAAAATCCATGTACACAAACAACAAGTGTGCGGTTAAAATTGGCAAAAAACACACACATTTCTTTCCACAGGGCCGTGGGGTGAGACAGGGATGCAGTTTAAGCCCCACCCTCTTCAACATATATATCAATGAATTGGCGAGGGCACTAGAACAGTCTGCAGCACCCGGCCTCACCCTACTAGAATCTGAAGTCAAATGTCTTCTGTTTGCTGATGATCTGGTGCTTCTGTCACCAACCAAGGAGGGCCTACAGCAGCACCTAGATCTTCTGCACAGATTCTGTCAGACCTGGGCCCTGACAGTAAATCTCAGTAAGACAAAAATAATGGTGTTCCAAAAAAGGTCCAGTTGCCAGGACCACAAATACAAATTCCACCTAGACACCGTTGCCCTAGAGCACACAAAAAACTATACATACCTCGGCCTAAACATCAGCGCCACAGGTAACTTCCACAAAGCTGTGAACGATCTGAGAGACAAGGCAAGAAGGGCCTTCTATGCCATCAAAAGGAACATAAAATTTGACATACCAATTAGGATCTGGCTAAAAATACTTGAATCAGTTATAGAACCCATTGCCCTTTATGGTTCTGAGGTCTGGGGTCCGCTCACCAACCAAGAATTCACAAAATGGGATAAACACCAAATTGAGACTCTGCATGCAGAATTCTGCAAAAACATCCTCCTTGTACAACGTAAAACACCAAATAATGCATGCAGAGCAGAATTAGGCCAATACCCGCTAATTATCAAAATCCAGAAAAGAGCCGTTAAATTCTATAACCACTTAAAAGGAAGCGATTCCCAAACCTTCCATAACAAAGCCATCACCTACAGAGAGATGAACTTGGAGAAGAGTCCCCTAAGTAAGCTTGTCCTGGGGCTCTGTTCACAAACACAAACAGACCCCACACAGCCCCAGGACAACAACAACAACAACAACACAATTAGACCCAACCAAATCATGAGAAAACAAAAAGAGAATTACTTGACACATTGGAAAGAACAAACAAATAAACAGAGCAAACTAGAATGCTATTTGGCCCTAAACAGAGAGTACACAGTGGCAGAATACCTGACCACTGTGACTGACCCAAACTTAAGGAAAGCTTTGACTATGTACAGACTCAGTGAGCATAGCCTTGCTATTGAGAAAGGCCGCCGTAGGCAGACCTGGCTCTCAAGAGAAGACAGGCTATGTGCACACTGCCCACAAAATGAGGTGGAAACTGAGCTGCACTTCCTAACCTCCTGCCAAATGTATGACCATATTAGAGACACATATTTCCCTCAGATTACAGCGATCCACAAAGAATTCGAAAACAAACCCAATTTTGATAAACTCCCTTATCTACTGGGTGAAAAACCACAGTGTGCCATCACAGCTGCAAGATTTGTGACCTGTTGCCACAAGAAAAGGGCAACCAGTGAAGAACAAACACCATTGTAAATACAACCCATATTATGTTTATTTATTTTCCCATTTGTACTTTAACTATTTGCACATTGTTACAACACTGTATATATACATAATATGACATTTGAAATGCCTTTATTCTTTTGAAACTTCTGAGTGTAATGTTTACTGTTAGTATTTATTGTTTATTTCACTTTTGTTTACTATCTACTTCACTTGACATATGTTTCCCATGCCAATAAAGCCCTTAAATTGAAATTGAATTGAATTGAATTGACAGGGACAGAGAGACAGTGACAGAGAGAGAGAGAGCACGAGAGAGAGACAGAGAGACAGAGAGAGACAGAGAGAGAGACAGAGAGACAGAGAGTAGAGAGAGAGAGAAGAGAGAAGAGAGAGAGATAAGAGAAAGAGAGAGAGAGAAAGAGAGAGAGAGAGAAGCGCGAGAGAGAGACAGAAGACAGAGAGAGACAGAGAGAGAGACAGAGAGACAGAGAGAGAGAGAGGGTGGGGGCAGTTTACCCCATGGGCTAGTTACCCCCTACTACCCTATATGGAGGGGTAACAGTAGAGATAGAGAGAGAAGAGATGATAGAAGAGAGATGAGAGAGAGAGAGAGAGAGAGAGACAGAGATACATAGAGACAGAGAGATATATATGAAGATAGACGAGATTATAGAGAAGAGAAGAGAGAGGAGACAGAGACAGTGACAGAGATACAGTGACCATAGAGATATGACAAGATAGAAGACATAGAGACAAGAGAGACAGAGAGATAGACAGAGAGAGATGAGAGATAGAGAGAGACAGAGACGAGACAGAGACAGATAAAGAGATAGAGATATAGAGAGAGAAGAGAAGATAGAGAGAAGAGAGAGAGAGATAGGAAAGAAAAGGAAGAAGGAGATAGAGGAAGACCGATAGAACCATTCGCACGCTCAATGCCTCCCCTTCTCTCTCAGAGAAGCAGACGAGAAGAGCGAGAGAACAGTCAATTGCTCCAGCAGTAATATTTAACTTACTGGTACTGAAGCTTGAGGGTTGATGTAATTGGTTCCGGGCTCTAAAGGTGGCTGACAACACTACTGACTGCGAGGCATGTGCTGGCTTGGCTCAGGCTGAGCAGGGCACTGAAATCAGGGGCGATTCTATGATTTTTTTTTCTAGTTTGCAAAACCAGAGAAAGAAGTGAAGACAGATTGAGGGGCATTGGGTAGTGAAAAGTGTCTGTAAACAAAACAATGGGCCATGTCCTGGCTTTGTGAATATTCCAGCCATGAATAGTATTTGTACCATGTGGCATTAAAATCCCTCTTCCTGTTAACTTGTCCTTGCTGTGTTCTGGGGAACATCTTCATCTTAGGCTGTACTGGACCCATCGCTCTGGATTGCGAAATATCGAAAGTATAAATACAATATGACGACTATTCCCTCTCATTTCAAGATCAAAGTTATTTATGGTGAAATGGTTTGAAACAAACCCACTGACTCTATGTGCTTTGGCAAACTGCCATGTAGGCCTACTGACCTGCTCGAGCTATGTCACACATCCTCAGAACCTCAGAATCATATCCTGAAAGGTAAGGTTGAAGAAAAACATTCAGGGTCAGGAGGGTCCGTCTAGCTGTTGTTCGGCTGACACATTCTCGAGTCCAGACTAGGTTTGTGACTACACAATGTTCCATAGGCCTACTACTATGTTGTGTGGATAATATGAGAGGTTTAGTAGGCTATGTGGGGCAATATGCATGGTAAAAACAGAAATGACTTTCCTGTATTAGTTTAATAAATACTAATGGAGTGTAGCTGTGTCGTTTACATTATTTATTTTATCAAATAATCAAGAGCTACTTACATTGCTCACATACTGTATTTACAAATAATCTATGTACTTATGACCTAATCTTCTCAATACTGCTTGGAGTAATGTCAGGTGAAATTCAGTTCCTTGACCTGTCACCTGTTTGAATGCTTGCCATTTTGGGATGGGGCCACAACACGCACACACAGACGCACGCCTGCATGCACGCACGCACACAGACACACTTGCACAAACACACACACACTCACAAAGTCATTATTTCTTGAAAAAAGACAACCAAAGAAAGCTGACGTCATTATCTAGGCCAAGTCAATTAATCCTGTACCAAACAATGGAACTTGCGTCAATCTATTGGCCTGGTTTGGCCTAAGCACTCAATCAGGAGTAAGGAAATTGTAAGCGGGTTTGTGAAGGGATCTTTCTCCACATTGATTGATGGAGCGTAGTGCTGTGAAATCCAGCGCAAATGCGCGCGCGCACACACACACACATACTGTACATGCACCTGCATGTGCGTACACACACATTTCTGTGTAAATTGGCCTACCTTTTCCCCCTCCAAGCCTCTTACACTGATGTTGATTTGGCCACTTTTGATTTATCTTTCAGGTACGTGATCTGCCAATTTCATGGGCATAAGGTTTATATTCCTGTTAAAACTGGTACTCTGTCAAGTTCACAGAAAATACCCTGACTGAAATCAAGAGCCGTCAGAACAACGTCAAACATCGTCTTGCTTTATTGTTTTTAATGTTCATCCAATTTAAGTCTGTAGAGAGGTCATAAAACTAAAATAAAGTTAGTTATTGTGCTGGCACCCCTAAAGAGAAAATCCACAACAATCTGTTTCAGAATTAGCCTTTCAATGACTTAGAAATAAATCAAGTTCAATCGGATGGATTGTTGCCTATTTGGATCGCTTATTTGATTAATTATTTGCACACCAAAAAATATGTTTTATTTATTAGGCTACTTTTTTCATCAAAACTTCTAAGCAAGTTTTCTCAGAAAATATCAGAGAGTGGAAGTTAAAGAGGCAGGCATTCAGCAGTAGAAATAATAAAAAAGCCCCTGTTTTAGTAAAAAGATGAGGGATGTGGTTGGAGAAATGTAACCACTCTCAAATTCATATACATAGCTATGGATGCAAAGACTGACCATCCATGATATGAACATTATAGTTTTAACCATGTTTTGAGGCTATATAGTGCTTGTTTACATTTACTTTGTTTACAAACATTGGAGTAGAAAAAGCTTATATTGTGATGGGGTTGAACTAAGCTCATGAGGCATTTATAAGTTATATTCGTGGGTACATGGGTACATATTAATGTATGTCAAAATATTCATGTAGCAACTGCTGATTCCCCCTTTAAAGCAATCCCACAGGCAACTCATTTGAGGGGGTGTGACTTTGCAGTGGCTGGCTCTATATATTGAGACGTTTTGTCTAAAGTGGCTTCATGTGAATGAGATACGCACTGCAGAGTTCAATTCAGGACAATACGCACCACGACCCTCCCGATATCATTACCATGGAGACCTGTTATCGCACACTTTGGATGACAGTTGTTCTGGCATCGATTACGTGGATATCAGCCGCGGTAGGGCCGGTTATCCGGTGCGAACCTTGTGATGCTGGAGCCCGGCTCCTGTGCAAGCCGTTGCCCAAGGACTGCGCAGAGAGAGTTCGCGAAACTGGCTGCGGGTGCTGCATGACTTGCGCGCTGGCATTTGGACAGCGGTGCGGGGTGTACACGGGGAGATGTGGCTCCGGGATGACATGCCAGCAGCAGCCCGGCGAGACGAAACCTCTCCAAGCTCTGCTGGAGGGACGAGGACAGTGTGCGAACGTGACCATTAAAAGACCCACCGCCTCTTTACCTGCAATCAATGAGATACAAGGTAAATGCCAAGATGAGGACGCATTTTGTAAAGGTTTTTACGCATGGTTTGCCAAATGATTATTATATTGTTATAATAATGTCGCCTGTAAAAATATAAATAATTTTGCTTGTCATCTTAAACATCTGGATGCAAGGTAGCCTAAAGTATCATTTATCACCTTGAGCTATCCTGTAGGATGAAGCCAGCCTGCGCGTAATATATCCAATATTGACACAATTGGATAGACACAATTGTACTGTCGGTTTCTATTATGGTCAATTCCACTGCAAGAATGATGTATTTTCGCTATTTTAATTATTGATATCATGGTTTTAACTCATTATCTGGTTGATATTGATGTTTGACCCTGTAATTTCGCTGTATTACAGCGGGTTCCTCTCTATGATTCTTTCATCACTTTGTGGAATTTTCAAACTGGGACTGTGTGATACAACTGGGACAGTGTGATACAACTTAATTTCAATCTATATTGTGGTTTCCAATTGTAAATCAAAACTAATATACATTTTGTAATCTTAAAATGTTATCTAACCATCAAAGTCTCCTCTCTACCCTCCTGTCTTCATCAGTAATGAATGTGCAACTATTATTAATTTGGATGAACTTCAAGGGAGAGACAAAAAAAAACACCTGAACCAGCACAGCTAGACCATTCACGTGATCAAAACATACATCCATTAGCATTATTATACTAAGTATCATACTTATAATACATTATACATAAAATGGTTATGTAATATTGGGAATGCTTCCAATTGTGCCACAACAACATTAACTCACAAACAAAATAATTTTTGACAGAGAATGTGGGTGGTACTCAGGAGGAGGAGCAAAACACCACTGCCCCAGTGATCCAAGCCCCCCAAGCCCTTTTCAGCACCAGCAGACCTCATGTAGTCCCCCCCAGAGTCCCCCACCACCCCTCTCCCCTCCACCCCATCAAGGCAGAGGTCATCCGCAGGGAGCAGCTGAAGAGGGCCCAGAGCTACAAAATGGAGGAACTCCCTGGAGCTCACAGCACAGACCAACAGAACTTCTCCCTGGAATCCAAGCAGGAGCCAGTGTATGTGAGTACCAGGTCCACTGTTTTCCTTTCTCTAGGAACAGTGTGTTAAAGAATGTTCTCCTCTTCATCCTTCTTCGCTTTGTGTTTTGGTGTTTTTCTCCCCCCTTCTCCTCTCCTCTCCTCTCCCTCTTTCCTCCCCCTTTTCTCAGTGTTTTGGTGTTTTTCTCCCCCCTTCTCCTCTTCTCTCCCTCTTTCCTCCCCCTTTCCTCAGTGTTTTGGTGTTTTTCTCCCCCCTTCTCCTCTTCTCTCCCTCTTTCCTCCCTCTTTCCTCAGTGTTTTGGTGTTTTTCTCTGTCCGTCTGCAGGTGATGAAATGTTCTGGGTATGGGTACTGACGGCTGGCGGTGGCGTGGTGGTGGGAGATTGGCAAGGCGGTGATTGGGTACAGTAGCGCTGCCTCTGTGGCTAACCTGTCGTTTCGCCGCAAGGCATCCGCGTGCCTCCCGGGGGAACGGAGGGGAGCGGTGGCAGTCTGGAGGGGAGCGCCGAGTCTCAGAGCAAGCTGATGATGGATTGGCCCTTTGCGTGTGCCTGTTTGGACTCGCTCTCCTCCCTCCTCTTTCTATTTTTTATCCTCTCTTTGGCCCGGGGGCGGGGAAACGAGTGCAGCACAAGGAATTAACTTTGCCTTGATTTGCTTTGATCAGTGACTGGAGCTGGACTTGAGGACAAGGCCTGTTGGCTCCTTTCTAGGGCCTCTTTGAATGCACCTTATCCCCTGGCCTATCCCTTTGTGTAAAGCGTTAGCTAGTTTCTAAGCGGCTTTCAGCAAAGTGTAAGCCCTCACAAGGTGGTCAGATGAATTCATTTCCTATTAGTTGCCTCTCTTTCTTCTTATCCCTAGTACCAACATTGTTTGGGTATTACTGAAGGGTAGTGCGGTAGGCTACAGATGGAGCTTGGTGTAGCCTAATGCTAATGATAGCATCCCTGTCTGAGTTCCTAGAGATTGAATTGCACTGTACTAAGTAAGCACACTGTTGTGGCTTGTGTTAGTTTCACTATTTGAATAGGATAAATTAGTGCCATTAGGTAACTATGACATAATTATTTGAGCTGTAGGTAATAGGCAGAGTGCTTTGGATTGGAAGAAGTAATATGGGTCATTATAGTCTGTGTGTATGTTTAGGGTCCCTGTCTTAGAGAGATGGAGAGTATCCTCAAAGGACTGAAGATCACAGACATCCTCAACCCCAGAGGCTTCCACATCCCAAACTGTGACAATAAGGGCTTCTACAATAAAAGACAGGTAAGGAAATCATACAAACACACTGTAGGGATAAAGATGCCATTTTATGAGTCAGTCCCCCCAGGCTCCTTTGTATTACTGAATGTCATAGCCATGTTTCCACCAAGGAATATCAGCCCAGATACCAGACCCACCTATTTGAACAGTTTTATAGAGGCAAGGAAAGTCACCCCCATTGGAACATTGTAACTACCATCATCTTCCCACTTACTCTTTCTTCATCAATGAAGATTCCAATGTCATTGGCTCATCATGCGTACTAGATTCATATCTGGAGCAGATCCATTCCTCCAGATCTGCTGCAGTCGTCTTTCATTTGTTATTAGAGCCTCATCACTTCTTAGCCACGCCATTTGGGGTAGACCATAGAGACAGACGGTTGGCTCTGGAGACATGGAACCACAGACACAAGAAAGCACCCAGCGCGGCTCGAACGGCGGCCGTTTAACGTGAAGCCTCCCAGGGAGACAGACATCAAGGTGGCCACCGGCACCCACTGCTCATTCAAATAATTTCCTGACTTTTGAAAAAGCAGTGCCGAAAATAGAATCTTCAGCCATTTCCCACATTTGCGTGGTCCTGGTCCGCCCACAAATGGTTTATAATAAATGAGTGTCCCTGATGCGTTCATATGGAGGCACTTAGTCCACCAGCGCCATCATCGCATCCACCAAAAGCAAAGCAACATTTCTATTACACGCCACAGCACTGAGTCTCTTGCCTAATGGACGTGCCTCTGTTTGACCTGCAATCATCTCATAACCAGCTTTACCAAAACGCCAGGCTCATTGTCTTTGTTTATATAAAATGTACGTATGTGTATCCTCAGGGATGGCAGGCAGGGAGGGAGTGGCAGACATTTAATGTCTGGGAATTTACTTCTGCGGTTCCCATGAGTCTCAGACTCAACATGTCTTATTAACTATAAATGTATACATAGTTTGGAGGATAAAGTACAGCATGTGGAGTTAGATGGCGGAAATGGCGAAGTGATTATGCATGAGACTTGCATTTAAAATACCTTTTAAAGCAGCTTTTAAATGCATTTTTCTTGGGTTTGGTCTTCTTTTTATTACTTTTATTAGATTCCCAAGCTACTATTTAGTGGAGTTATTCTTTGACTCCAATGTTCCAACTTTTTAATGACATTGTCCTGAAAATATGACCAAACCTCTCAGCATGTGTACTTTAATAAAATTATATTACTTGATGGTTCATAGAGATTAAATTATAATAAAACATAATTTGTTAGGAGAAGGGAAATTACATGATAATGGGTGCCAATATTAGAAAGTTAAGATACAGTAGACATGATAGTCATATTTTGACTGGACAGTCCAATACATAAACTCTACTCTACCACATCGCTCTCACAGGGTTGAGCTTATCCTATGGTCTCTGAGGTCAGATACCTAGACACATGTAATATCAAGCAGAGAAAGGACTGACTTCCGTTCTGATCAACTCTTTTAGAGAGCGATGCCATTTGTTCGCCTTCCTTTGCCCTTCAAATTAATGGCTGCATGTTTTACTAGAGAGGAGTCTGACCTTTAGTCAAATTGGCAGTAAAATAACAGCCCTTGGGTTGCTCCAGAGACTCTGTAAGTCATTTGTAGTACCCATAATTTGGAGCTTTGGGGTATAATCAGCAACAGATGATTTGTACTGGCCACCGGCTCGCTGAAAATAGATATTGGGTCTCAGTTGTTCACAAACGGGCCTAAGCAAATATTTGACCAGGTTTCTGTTTACCTTAAAGCTCTCTATATGTGTGTGTAACTGAAGGTAGACCGTAAAAGCAGCTCAAAATACCACCAGCATGCGTCCCATGGCCAAGTCTCCTCAGGTCCTCAGCACAAAATGGACGTTAATGTCCTTAACCACTTCATGTCCCACTTCAAGTCATTTTAGATGGCCATTGTGCTAGATGATCTACTGTACGGCGTCTATTGGTAATTATGTACGGCATAAGCATAAATATTTTTCTTGTACTCTCTCTCCATGTATGTATCTCTCTCATCTTCTCGCTGTAACCCTATTCTGTGAAAGTAACACTACTGTAACCCCTCTGTTCTCTCACGCTGTAACCCTCTCTCTGGGAACTCCTACTCTCGAAATTCCCTCGCGGGTACGTAACGAGTCTCCGCGCGACGCGTGGCGTCCAGAAAGACTGAGTGAATAGTCGCAGGGTGGCCGCGCGGTAAGCGCGATGCGGGTGAACTCTCGCCAGCGCCGCAAGAAGAGAGCCGGAAATGAGTAGAGGGGAACGAGCGAGAGATCGAGCGAAGAGGTAAGAGAGAGAGCGCGCCAGGCGAAAAGCGAGCGGAAAAAGCTCTCCGGAAAGAGGACGAGAGAGCGAGAGCGAGAGAGAGAGAGAGAGAGAGAGAGAGACGAGAGAGATATATCTTCTATATAGATCTCTTCTCTCTCTCTCTATCTCTCTATCTCTCCTCTCTCTCTCTCTATATCTCTATCTCTCTGTAACTCTATCTCTCTCTTGTTCTCTCTCTCTCTCTGTAACCTCTCTCTCTCTCTCTCTCGTAACTCTCTCTCTCTCTCTATCTCTCTCTCTCTCTCTCTCTCCTCTCTCTCTCTTCTCTCTCTCTCTTGTAAAACTCCCTCCCTCTCTCTCTGTAACTCTCTCCCTCTCTCTCTGTAACTCTCGCTGTAACTCTTTTTCTCTCTGTAACTCTCTCCCTCACTCTCTGTAACTCGCTCTCTGTTTCTCTCTCCCTTTCTCTCTCCCTCCCTCCCTCGCTCTCTGTAACTCTCTCTCTGTTTCTCTCTCTCGCTTGCTCTCTCTCTCGCACTTTCTCTCTCACTCACACACACAGTGCCGTCCATCCAAGGGCAGAAAGCGAGGGTTTTGCTGGTGTGTCGACAAGTATGGGCAGCCATTGCCAGGTTTCAACGGGAAGGAGAGAGGAGACGCCCAGTGCTACAACTCTGAGAGCCAATAAGACCTAAGCAGCAAGAAGGAGCCAGAGAGAGAGAGAGAGAGAGAGAGAGGGGGAGAGAAAGAAAAGGGAGCCATGAACACACAGAGAAACTATGAGAATATTGGGATCCAAAAGGGTCCAAAATGGCTGGGCCTGGACATGTGTTGGCTGGCATTGATGATACTTTGGCCAACAGGACCTTACGGAAGGCAGGGCAGGGGGAGTGGCTTGAGAAGAGGACTCATCCAATCACACTCCTTGTGTCCAACACACACCGTCCAATGCTATGTGCTGCTCCTATGTACTGTAAGTAGTGTGTGGATGGATTATCCATGGACTGAGAGGGCAGTACCTCTAAGAAGGACAAATGAGATGTCATCATTCACTCCATTGCAGAGGGCTAGCCTTGATGAATACAGACTTGATGACAGAGACTCATGCACAGTAATTCTGTATGTTTGATATGTTACTGTATGTATTTGTGTGTTTGTATGTGTCTGTGAGTGTGTGTACAATAAAACTACACACAATACCCCATAATGACAAAGCAAAAACAGGTTTTTAGAAATTTTTGCAAATGTATTACAAATAAAAAACAGAAATATAAGTATTCAGACCATTTACTCAGTACTTTGTTGAAGCACCTTTAGCAGCAATTACAGCCTTGAGTCTTCTTGGGTATGATGCTAGAATCTTGGCACACCTGTATTTGAGGAGTTTCTCCCATTCTTCTCTGCAGATCCTCTCAAGCTCTGTCAGATTGGATGGGGAGTGTCGCTGCACAGCTGTTTTCAGGTCTCTCCAGATATGTGATCGGGTTCAAGTCCAGGCTCTGGCTGGGCCACTCAAGGACATTCAGTGACTTATCCCGAAGCCACTCCTGCATTGTCTTGGCTGTTCTTAGGGTCGTTGTCCTGTTGGAAGGTGAACCTTCGCCCCAGTCTGAGGTCCTGAGCACTCTGGAGCAGGTTTTCATCAAGGATCTCTCCGTACTTTGCTCCGTTCATCTTTCCCTCGACCCTGACTAGTCTCCCAGTCCCTACCGCTGAAAGAAATCACCCCAGCATGATGCTGCCACCACCGTGCTTCACCATAGGGATGGTGCCAGGTTTCCTCCAGATGTGATGCTTGGCATTCAGGCCAAAGAGTTCAATCTTGGTTTCATCAGACCAGAGAATCTTGTTTCTCATGGTCTGAGAGTCCTTTGGGTGCCTTTTGGCAAACTCCAAGCAGGCTGTCATGTGTATTTTACTGAGGAGTGGCTCTTCCAGAAAGGCCTGATTGGTGGAGTGCTGCAGAGATGGTTGTCCCTCTGGAAGGTTCTCCCATCTCCACAGAGGAACTCTGGAGCTCTGTCAGAGTGACCATCGTGTTCTTGGTCACCTCCCTGACCAAGGCCCTTCTCCTCCGATTGCTCAGTTTGGCCGGGTGGCCAGCTCTAGGAAGAGTCTTGGTGGTTCCATACTTCTTCCATTTAAGAATGATGGAGGCCACTGTGTTCTTGGGGACCTTCAATGCTGCAGAAATGTTTTGGTACCCTTCCCCAGATCTGTGCCTTGACACAATCCTGTCTCGGAGCTCTACAGACAATTTGACCTCAAGGCTTGGTTTTTGTCTGACATGCGCTGTCATCTGTGGGACCTTATATAGACAGGTGTGTGCCTTTCCAAAACATATCCAATCAATTGAATTTACCACAGGTGGACTCCAATCAAGTTGTAGAAAGATCTCAAGGATGATCAATGGAAACAGGATGCACCAGAGCTCAATTTCGAGTCTAATAGCAAAGGGTCTGAATACTTCTTCCCTTACAGTCAACAGTGTTGTCATTGTTGTTTCTTTCTCCTCTCTGTCATCTCTGTCAGTTTGCATAAGCTGGTTACTGGGATAAAGGGCAACAGTACAAACCCTTATCTTTCACAACTGTGTGTTTGTGTGCGTGTTTGTGTGCGCAAGAGAGCGTGTTTTTGTGCCTGTTTTTCTGTTTTCAGAGATTCCTTTTCACCATTTAGCTGTGCCTTGGTTAAAGGTCAATATGCTGTATGCTTGTATCAAAAAAGTATATAAAGCTGACACTAGCTTCCATTGCTGTGTGATTTACTTTTGTAAGTGTGTTGTCTGAATATGCTTAAGATTTCTAAATGTCAATGATTTATTATTATTATATTGATGATGTTGAGATTCTGAATACTTTTTTATTTTATTTTTTATTTTTTTACAATTATAACTTGATATCCCTCATAACTATTGCCACCAGAGGTTCTGTTGAGGCTTAAGGTGTTTGTTGCAGGATGTTGCAGAAGTAACCCTGCATGTTGCTAGCTCTGGAAATGTTTTGAATTCCCACCAGTGGTGTCCAAAATGGTACCCTAATCCCTATGTAGTACACTCCTTTTGACCAGGTCCATAGTAGCGCACTATAGGGAATAGGGTACTATTCTAGACTTTACCCAGGAATCTTTTCTAATAATTTGTTGAGAACCAAGTGTTCCCACAGCCTCAGGGTTAAAGCCAGGGGATATATAAGAACCTCTGTTACACGTTTCCTCACAAAGAAATACTTAATTTAATGAAGTTATTGGCATTGGTGTCTTCATTCAACTCTCTCCAAACTTGCCGTGTCCTAACGTGTCCTATGCTACAGAAACATGCTCTAAACACAAACATTGAGGTTAACGTGTTTATTGAAAGCAGAAAACTACGACAGAGTAACTAACATAGGCTATAAATGATTTGTAACAAACCAACAAAAAGTAATAGCAGCATATCTCGTAACATATTTCTGACTTGCTGTCAGGAACAGGGGTTTGATATATAATAAATACAGACATTTCATCAAACAAAAGAGAACCTCCTTTCAGACAAATGAAACAATGAACTTAATGAGGAGGGTGGTGCACGTGCAGACAGTTGGGAGAAAGAAGTTTCCCAATAAACCTCTGCTAAACCAGAAGACCTGCACAGACCAGTAGAGGTAGATGAAGACAGAAAAACTCCCCCAAAACCAAACAGTGGCTTGGATGAGCAGTGATATGTTTGTGCCTGGCCACCAGATGCATACTTGTGGAACTTGAAGTATTTCCCCGATACCCATTGAAGAAATGTCAATGAGAATACATTCCGACACTGTCAACATGTTGAATGAATGAATGAATGAATGGCTGTGTTGTTTCATTTACAGTGCCCGGGTCCACCCGGTTGAATGAATCAAAAACAGATTCTGAAGACCCTGAACTGGGTTTGGCAGAGCTGGAGACCTGAGGTCTTCAAAGATGGAGTTATTTAGTCAGAAACACAAATGTATACACTGTTGCCCTATTTACAATCAAAAAATAGGAGACATAAATAATCTAAAAATTACAAATGGTTCATACTAGTAAGCACATATGCATTTTGAATAAATAAGGCGTGATACGTCACGTAAATAAATTAAGAGCAATTTCTATTTTTTTTTTAAATAAATTGTTATGTTGTGTGCTTATGTGAATGAGTATGTATTTGTACGTGTTTGTAAAAGAAAGTCAGTATATATGGTGGATGTGGATGTGTGTAGGTTTGAGGAGACCTATGTGTGTTTAGTCATGTTTAAGCTGAGTAAAAAAATACTCTGTATATGTGTCAATACGTGTGCATGCATTTGCCTGTGAATGTGCATACTGTAAATGTGTGTCAGAGCGTCCATGCTTTAGTGAGTGAGTTCCTGCTGGCACTCTGAGCCTCCTAGTAGATAATTGGATCCCAGAATCTTCTTCCCATTCCAGGAGGACACACACCAACAGCTGGCAGGGGGTCCCACCAGAGACGACTCACACTAGAACACAACAGAAGAGGGGAAAATATATTAAATTACATGGATCAACTTCACTGCATTGATAAATGTTTTCCTGGTCAGATCACAAGAAAAATCCCTGGTCCTACTATCAACCACTAATGAGCTAATGCTATTGCTAAACACACCTACCCCTCTGTATTGGGGCAGCTCTGGAGGTAGGCCTAACCTGCTTGGCCTTGTAGAAGCCATTTTTGTCACAGTTGGGGAGGTAGAAGGTGGTGAACTTCTCTCCTAGTTCCTGCTGAGAGCTGGCTATCCTGTCCAGGGCTGCATGCAGCTCAATGTGGCAGGGACCCTGGATATAAGACAAAGAGAACAGTCAACATCTGATACAATACAACACAGCAAGATGGACACAGAATACATGATGAAATAAGTTGTTATATCTGACTGAAACAGATTAAATCATCATGTGGTAAAATGCAAAGCAAATTTCATCACAAGGCAATAACATTTTCTCACTGAGGCTGGCTTGGTAGTTTTTGTTAAAATGGCTACAGCTTCCTCTGGTGGCTAAGAGCTAAATTGCAGTTAGAGTGCAGAATAACTGCAGTATGCTGCAAATACTGCATTCAATTCACCACCGTTTTTTTTACTACAGTAACAGTGCAGTTTAACTGCAGTTCAATTGCAGTACACTGCAGTTATTCTGCAATTACTACGTCCAAAACACCACAGTCGACTGCAGTTGCTGCACTTTTACTGCTGTTTCAAAACTCCAATATTTTTTTGTAAGGGAGTTTAGCCTTTTAGATCACAATGAATAAGATTACATGCAGAGGGGAGAACTGATCCTAGATCAGCGCTCCTACTCTGAGAAGTTTGATACATAAGGCCCCAGATGTATGTTGTGCCCACCTGTTTCACCATTACAGTCTGAAGACCTACCGAACTCTGACAGTACGTCAGATCAGGGGCGCAACTTTCACTGGGGACTGGGGGGGGTCATGTCCCCCCCACCCCCCACATTTTGAAATTGGATTTTTGTCCTCCCCAGTTTTATCATTGGAATGTGATACAAAATGCGCCAACAGTGTGCTTTAGGACCATATGGACGCCTTCGAGCGGTCGGGTAGGCTGTTTGGAGTGTTCAGCCTGCTGGATTTAGGACCCCGTGGACACCCCAGAGCGGGCTGACAGGCTGTGTGAAGGCAAAGCTTCTGTAAGGCTGGCTGGACCAGCATGGGAGAGTTGAGCATAGTTCAGTGTATATGTGTTGCGCTCTTTCACCTAGTTGTAAAAGCAAGCCGATCAGAACTGGATACTATTTAGTTGATTGATGTAGCTGGCAAGGTAACTGCTGTTTAACTTAACAGAAAAAAAGTAAACTAATGTTTATTTGCAGTGCTGAGCTAGTATTGTAACTGACATGTAACATTAGCTAATGTTTCATCCGCTCTCGACTGAGGTGAATGAATAAGCTATGCTAGCTACCACAGCCAGGTCAGCTCTAGCCTCCAGTTATCTGTCAGATAGCGACATTAGAATCAAACAATGAAACCGTCGGCCAAACGATTGAATATTGATATTCTGATGTTTTTTTCAGTGCAATGTGACTTGTATTAGTCAGTATGGCAATGTAATGTTAGTTTCCCAAGCTAATTCCCTACTTTTCACACTGACACAGTTATAAACAGCTCTAACGTTACGTGCTTCACTGTCATGGTGCACAGTAGAGGGCTGCGTGGGACCGATTTCTTCATCCCACTCCCGCACCTGCTGGCTTTCTGTCCGACTCCCACCCGCTAACGCAAGAACAGGTCCCAAACCCAACCACAGTCCCGCAATGTTATTTTAGGCATATGTGACGCAGCTCACTTGCCAGCCATGGTCCCAGCAATTTTGCACCCTATAGGCAATATCAAATGCCCAAAAATAACTTCAGAAATAGGTTAAATTACCAGAGATTCTCATATGGCCCTTATATTGTATTACTGGGCTATATCAGCCAATACGCTAGATGTAGTTTGAAGAGACTTGCACTTTCTCTTGAGCAATTTCTATAGCCTACTTTTTTTTTAACCCCTTTTCCGTGGTATCCAATTGGTAGTTACAGTCTTGTTCCATCGCTGCAACTCGCTAGAGCGCGATGGGACAAGGACATCCCAGCCGGCCAAACCCTCCCCTAACCCGGACGATGCTGGGCCAATTGTGCGCCGCCTCATGGGTCTCTCGGTTGCGGTCGGCTGCAACACAGCCCGGGATCGAACCCGGATCTGTAGTAACGGCCTTTAGCACTGCGATGCAGTGTCTTAGCCTCCCAAGTAAAGGAGTCTGTATTGAAAACATGCCCACGTCAGGGGAGATACCAATTTAGGCAATCCCTAGCTGCTGGGCTGCTCAGTCCTAGCCCTGGGGTCTGCCGTCCTGTGGGTTGTCACTCTGGACTTACACACCCAATAATGAATGTTTCACTAAGATCCTAAAGCTGAGTGGGGTGTGTTGGGGCGCTGCAGGGTGGTGGACCCCTAGGGACAGGACGGGGCAACCAAGCTATATTGTGTGCAAGTAAAAAGACCTCTACAGTACTATTAGTCCTATTAGATTAATTATATGGAGGATTTGCTGTTTCTGTGTGTTAATGTATATTTGAGGAGTATGTTTTTTTTCTTTTTTCGTTTCCAAACCTTTCCCTTGGGAATTAATATAAAATGAAAGGTGTGAACTGGGAAGGGAATTGTGTTGGGAGAGAGTTGAGTTACTGGTTACTGGGGGGGGGGGGGGGGGGGGGGGGGGGGGGGGGCGTGCAGGCGGCTTTGGCTGGCTGGTCGGTCTGGCTGAAATTTGATATAGAGGATGTCTTAATAAAGACAATCAAAAGTAGTCTAGTCTTATTAATCACTTAATCATATTTCATAATGATCTCTTACCTAGCTTGATGAATGTGGGCATGTTTGCTTATTTTTTGTTCTGAATAGAGATGGCATATTGAATTGTGTAAAAATGCAGGAAATGAGCTTTAGATACCCCCCAAAAAATATAGGGGAGGACCCCCAGACCCCCCACCAGGTTATGTCACCCCCCACTTCTTAACCAAAGTGGCTCCCCTGCTTCAGATTGAATACTGTGTATACCTGTTCTACCAGTTTCTTGCGGATGGCATTGACCTTGGCCTTGATGCTCTCCTGAGCCCCATCATCGCTGGTGTCAAAGGGGGTGTTGAGTCCCAGGAGGTAGGGCAGGGAGCTGAGGTCTGGCACCCTCTCTACTTCCTCTGTGGATTAGAGAGAGAATTTAGTGGGTAAGTATACCATGTTTTGCATAAGTTTACATTCTATCTTTTTGATTATGTTGTCAAAAAAGGTTTAATTTGTAGATTGTCCAACATCTTTATAAGTAAGTAATAACTGAATGAAGGAATCAATGAATGAAAAACAAAAACGTAAGGACAGAAAGCTGAGTCTACCTTGACCCTGGTCCTCAGTGCAGATGGCCTGTCCTCTGGTGAGGGAGTGGAGGGGTCTGGGATCCCCAGGTCTAGGGCTGCATTTTAACCCCTCAGCACAGTGGGCTGTGTATACCCCACAGGAGGCCCCCTTCTCCAGGGCACATGCCAAGCAGCAGCCGCAGCCCGGCTCCCTTAGAACCTGCTTACAGTCTGGGGAGATGGCCGGGCATTCATCCAGCTTCTCCTGGGTACAGGGGGCACAGCGGATAGGCTCCGGGCCCACCACAGGGGAAGACAGGGCCAGAGAGGTCAGGAGGGACAACGACACCGCTGCCAGCAGGTTCAACTTGTCATATAATCCAAGCATCTTGAATCTTCAGGTGTAGAAAGAAACTAAAATCTACAGTCAGGTGTAGATATGAATCTTATTCAAGTGTAGTCTTGAATCTTCTTCAAGTGTAGTCTTGAATCTTCAAGTGTAGTCTTTGCTTAGTTCTCAAGTACTTATGACAAGCACGATATACATCTGTAGGTTTCCTTCTGAACTGAATTCTCAGAACAAAGGAGCTGCAGTATTTATACAGAGCTCTGACCCTCAGGGAGGTTAATGTTTGAACCAGTGACTCCAGACATTAAACATTTTGGCTGGACAGCGCAGGAGCAGCTTCAGCTGTATTGGGTGGGTTGACCTCTGGTAGAGTGTGTAGATCTGAACTGGGGTTCACTGAAGCTGCCTGCCTGCCCTGTCGTCAATATTTACTCTGGGACAAGGAGTGATTGTACAAGGTGATGTTGGAAAACATTGCAAAATCAATGAGTTGTTTTTTCGGTTTTGACCCCTCGATCATACATAGTGTATGATGTGGGGGACAAACTAATGATGGATTGATGTTAAGTTGTGCATTGAGATTCATCCTTCGGTACATGACTTACCTAAGGGTCAGAAGTTATATGACTTGATTCTACTACTTTCAAAAATCATATTTGTTATTCAGCCCATGTGGTGGACTTAGGGGTCATCTGCAGGTCACATAAACATGATCATCCCCTCAGTTACATAACCATGCAACCATAACATGTTTGTCTGGAGAAGGCCTTTTTTAATTGGTAATTTCCTGGTGTAGTATTAGTTAATCACACTTGATCTACGATAAACACTGAACACCTCTACACCCCTCCCCCATACACACACTCTCTCTGTGCCTCTATGAGATACCCCATGCTTTTCATCGCATGATAAAGCATGGTGACTTTGTGTAGTGACTGGACTATTAGTCAGTGTCTCGAGACACCAACTGAAACTACAATGTCATATGTTGACAGTGAAAGGTTGTAGGGTCATTCCACGAAATGAGTTCCTTTTGCATCCCTTTGATATTTTATGTAGAAACTGTGCACCAGTATTGCATTTTAAAAGCCTGTTATATTAAATGAAGTGCCCTTTAATATAGAACACATGTTAAATGGTCCTCTGTAGCTCAGCTGGTAGAGCACGGCGCTTGTAACGCCAAGGTAGTGGGTTCGATCCACGGGACCACCAATACACAAAAAAATTTATGCACGCATGACTGTAAGTCGCTTTGGATAAAAGCGTCTGCTAAATGGCATATTATTATTATTATTATTATTATTTAAATACATCTGACTTGCTTAAGTGTAAAAATTCAGCATGTCCCTCTGTGACGTCTAACACGTCAACCCTGTTACCCATAGATGAATCTAACGTAGCAGCCGTAAAAGAAAAACGCCTGAGCGTTTAGACAGGCTAGAAAAGTTTTAACAATAAATACTTTTTTTGAAGCTTGCATTCAATTGCCGCTCCCTGTTGCACACAACAAGCTTCCATTCCTCCTTAAGGGAATTTATGGCTGATTTAACATGAAATCATCAACCCTGTTACATTATTTGGCACTTAATAGGCTCTTACTATCATAATGGGAAAACTTGTTTTTTATTAAGTTATGACGGGAATGTAAAAATTATGTGAAATAAAATGTTTTCTTTTTTCACCGAGTTACACTACCCAAAAGGGACTCATTTCATGAAACGACCCTGTTATTTTCCCAGTCTGATGAAATGCTGGCCTTGGTGAACACAATTGATACATTGGAGGTGTACCCTCGATAATGTCCAGATAACCTTTATTCATGTTCATGAATCAGACACTTTTATTTCTCTTGCATTGTAATGCTTTAGTGACACACAGTCTTGCAATGATTTATTGGATGCCCTTTAGTCATGTTGCAAGGCTACTCAACAACCAGCTCATGTGTTGTAGCCTCCTCAATGTTGTGCATCAAATTCACCAGCCATTGTGGGAAAGGATCATCCTATGGGATATACAGCGGTGAAGAGAGTATCATGGACAAATGATCAACATTTGTGTTTGATTACTATAATTGAATGTACATGTATTTTGTTTGTCCAGACCATCATGACTACAGGCTTATTATTGATACTCACTGCAGTTGGCACCTTTCTCCGTCTTCTAGCACCTATTTTCTTCTGCCCGTCCTCCCCTCTCTTCTTCTGTGGTCCTTGTGGTGTTGGTAGCTCTTCATCTGACGATGACCAGGAGAGTCTCCTCCTTGTGCGAGATGTTTGTTTCCCTCTCCTGTTGATGGTTAGCTGGGGCTGAAATGTCAATACTTGCATAAAACATCAACAAAAATATAAAGTGAGAAGGAGTGGGGAGAGCTGGCTACTTCCCAGTGGGCACACACTGGTTAAATCAACATTGTTTCCACGTCATTTCAATGAAATGACGTTGAACCAACATAGAATAGGCGTTGAATTGACGTCTGTGCCCAGTGGGTTACCTCTACTTCCAGATGAGTGCCATCCTCTTCCCCATCAGCCTCTGCTCTATGTTTCCCAGGGAGGGTGAACCCTGGTGTAGTAATCTCATCCCCAAGGTTGCTTGTGGTCTGGGTGGTAGTTGGATATGGTACAGAGAGACTGTAGATCTCCACCTGTGCAGCACTACTCTGGTCCAGAGAACGGGACTGCCGGCTTTGCCTCCACACCTTTAGTGGAGACTCTTCCTCTTCTTTCTCCTCCTTGTCCTTTCCCTTGTCATCCACCACCACCTCCTCCTCTTCATCCTCCTCTTCCTCTTCCTGGATAGGTTCTAACGGCTGTATCATTAGTTGATTAGTTTTAGTATATAGATCATGTGAATCTGATCAACTTTACAGGGCTAGATAGAATACATAGAATTCTTGTATTATTTGTGAAGACTCTGAAGCTAGCAAAATCTCAGATAATTTCAACAGCAGCGCCAACCGTTTTAATTTGCATACTTTCTATTCAAAGTCTAGTTTTTCTAAAGACAATTTTGGTTAGAGACAAACATATACACATTTAAACTTACATATTGCTGTCGATTCTCCATAACATCAATTAGCCGAGGAATGGAGTAATGATTGTTTGTTTCCCTGAGGGTTTACTTTACTTTATTTGAAGTGAATATCAAGAACTGTTTATATGCAGTCTGGTTACACACCAGTTCACAATTGTCTTGATTATTCTATAATTGAAGCCAGGGTGGTCAATTGACACATTATGCAAATGTGTCAACCTACCTAGCTGACCCAGTGCCCTACGATCAGAAATCAAGTTATGATGACAACCTCTACCAAGAGTTACTCTCATCTGAAATGTTGTATTTGTATATTAAAGACTCAGTTGTTCCAATGTTGACCTCTGTAGTATTGGTGATGTTGTAGAGAGGACTGATTGTGCAGTTTAACACTCTATATGGTTAACCTTACATCCTCTTTATTGATTAATCGTAACCTTAGAGACATTGATTGATGGGACACACTACAAGGCCATCATAACACCATCAGCTGGTCAGTTTGATTTGCTATTTTTTGTGTCACACTGTGGGTTCATTTGAGTGCAGTGGTGGTACTCTTTTAGCCTGATCCACCATCCTGATCTCGCAAACTCACATTCTGTTTTGCTAGACGTATTAAGTAGTATAGTGACTTATCACGTGACAAGTGAAGCGAAACAAAAATGAGAGGGCAGCGGTCAGTCAGTTTGACCAGGCAAGTCCTTGGCCTAAACTACAGGAAACTGTGCCAGACAGGTTATGGCAGTACAAACAGTGACACCAATCCTGGTTTGGCAGGGATAGCATTTGCCCAAATCAAAGACAGATGAGATAACAAAAACATTCTCATTCATAAAATGTGACTCATTTCAGGAAACTATCTCGCTGGTTTCTCCATGCATCGTCTAAACTGGACGGCAGCCTTGGGTAAGGCGAAGGGGGGAGGGGTGTGTCTCTTTGTTAACAGCTAGTGCGTGATCTTTAATGTTAAGGAATTATTGAGTTTTTGCCTGCCTGAGTTAGAATACCTCATGATAAGCTGCAGACCATACTATTTACCAAGAGAGTGTTCATCTATATTTTCGTAGGTGTCTATTTACCACCACAAACCGATGCTGGCATTAAGACTGCACTCAACGAGCTGTATAGGGCCATAAGCAAACACAAAAATGTACATCCGGAGGCGGCACTTCTCGTGGCAGGTGATTTTAATGCAGGGAAACTGAAATTACCAGCATGTCACCTGTGCAACTAGAGGCAACAAAACTCTTTATCACCTTTACTCTACACACAGAAACACATACATGGCTCTCTCTCTCTCAATACAGAAGTGATCCGATGAAGCGGATGCTAAACTACAGAACTGTTTCGCTAGCACTGACTGGAATATGTTCCGGGATTCAGGTCCCTGTGACTGAACACCTCCCTCTGCAACTGGATCCTGGACTTCCTGACGGGGCGCCCCCAGGTGGTGAGGGTAGGCAACAACACATCTGCCACACTGACCCTTAACATGGAGGCCCCTTATGGGTGCGTGCTCAGTCCCCTCCTGTACTCCCTGTTCACTCACTACTGCGAGAACGTGCATGACTCCAACGCCACAACACGAAGGTGGTAGGTCTGATCACCGACGACTATGAGACAGCCTATAGGGAGGAGGTCAGTGACCTGGTAGTTTGGTGCCAGGACAACAAGATCTCCCTCAATGTCAACAAGGCAAAGGAGCTGATCGTGAACTACAGGACACGGAGGGCCGAGCACGCCCCCATCCACATTGACGGGGCTGTAGTGGAGCAGGTCGTGAGCTTCAAGTTCCTCGGTGTCTACGGAATTAACATGGTCAATACACGTCAACACAGTCGTGAAGAAGGCACGACAATGCCTCTTCCCCCTCATTTGGCATGGGCCCTCAGATTCTCAAAGTTCTACAGCTGCACCATTGAGAGCATCTTGACTGGCTGCATCACCGCTTGGTATGGCAACTGCTTGGCATCTGACCGCAAGACGCTACAGAGGATAGTGCGTAAGGCCCTGTGCATCACTGGGGCCAAGATCCCTGCCATCCAGGACCTCTATACCAGGCGGTATCAGAGGAAAGCCCTAAAAATTGTCAAAGACTCCAGCCACCCAAGTCATAGACTGTTCTGGAACCATCATGATTCTGGAACCATCAGGATCCTGAACAGCTTCTACCCCCAAGCCAACAGACTGCTAAATAGTTAAATAGTTAACCAAATAGCTACCCTGCCTTGTTGGGAAGGGCCCGTAAGTAAGCATTTCACTGTTAAATCAAATCAAATCAAATCAAATTGTATTGGTCACATGCGCCGAATACAACAGGTGCAGACATTACAGTGAAATGCTTACTTACAGCCCTTAACCAACAGTGCATTTATTTTTATCAAAAAAAGTAAAAAATAAAACAACAACAAAAAAAGTGTTGAGAAAAAAAGAGCAGAAGTAAAATAAAATAACAGTAGGGAGGCTATATATACAGGGGGGTACCGGTGCAGAGTCAATGTGCGGGGGCACCGGCTAGTTGAGATAGTTGAAGTAATATGTACATGTGGGTAGAGTTAAAGTGACTATGCATAAATAATTAACAGAGTAGCAGCAGCGTAAAAAGGATGGGGTGGGGGGGCAGTGCAAATAGTCTGGGTAGCCATGATTAGCTGTTCAGGAGTCTTATGGCTTGGGGGTAGAAGCTGTTGAGAAGTCTTTTGGACCTAGACTTGGCACTCCGGTACCGCTTGCCGTGCGGTAGCAGGGAGAACAGTCTATGACTAGGGTGGCTGGAGTCTTTGACAATTTTGAGGGCCTTCCTCTGACACCGCCTGGTATAGAGGTCCTGGATGGCAGGAAGCTTGGCCTGCTTAAAAGTCTTACTCACATCGGCTACGGAGAGCGTGATCACATAGTCATCCGGAACAGCTGGTGCTCTCATGCATGCTTCAGTGTTGCTTGCCTCGAAGCGAGCATAGAAGTGGTTTAGCTCGTCTGGTAGGCTTGTGTCACTGGGCAGCTCGCGGCTGTGCTTCCCTTTGTAGTCTGTAATAGTTTTCAAGCCCTGCCACATCCGACGAGCGTCAGAGCCAGTGTAGTACGATTCAATCTTAGCCCTGTATTGACTCTTTGCCTGTTTGATGGTTCGTTGGAGGGCATAGCGGGATTTCTTATAAGCGTCCGGGTTAGAGTCCCATTCCTTGAAAGCGGCAGCTCTACCCTTTAGCTCAGTGCGGATGTTTCCTGTAATCCATGGCTTCTGGTTGGGGGTATGTACGTACGGTCACTGTGGGGACGACATCATCGATGCACTTATTGATGAAGCCAGTGACTGATGTGGTGTACTCCTCAATGCTGTCTGAAGAATCCCGGAACATGTTCCAGTCTGTGCTAGCAAAACAGTCCTGTAGCTTAGCATCTGCGTCATCTGACCACTTTTTTATTAACCGAGTCACTGGTGCTTCCTGCTTTAGTTTTTGCTTATAAGCAGGAATAAGGAGGATAGAGTTATGGTCAGATTTGCCAAATGGAGGGCGAGGGAGAGCTTTGTATGCGTCTCTGTGTGTGGAGTAAAGGTGGTCTAGAGTTTTTTTCCCTCTGGTTGCACATTTAACATGCTGGTAGAAATTAGGTAGAACGGATTTAAGTTTCCCTGCATTAAAGTCCCCGGCCACTAGGAGCGCTGCATCTGGATGAGCGTTTTCCTGTTGATTTATGGCCTTGTACAACTCATTCAGTGCAATCTTAATGCCAGCATTGGTTTGTGGTGGTAAATAGACAGCTATGAAAAATATAGATGAAAACTCTCTTGGTAAATAGTGTGGTCTACAGCTTATCATAAGATACTCTACCTCAGGCGAGCAAAACCTCGAGACTTCCTTAGTATTTGATTTTGTGCACCAGCTGTTGTTTACAAATATACACAGACCGCCACCCCTTGTCTTACCGGAGTCAGCCGTTCTATCCTGCCGATGTAGCGTATAGCCCGCTAGCTGTATGTTATCATTGTCGTCGTTCAGCCACGACTCGGTGAAACATAGGATATTACAGTTTTTAATGTCCCGTTGGTAGGATAACCGTAATCTTAGGTCATCCAATTTGTTATCCAATGATTGAAGATTGGCTAATAGGATTGATGGAAGAGGCAGTTTACTCGCTCGCCGTCGGATCCTTACAAGGCACCCCGATCTACGTCCACGATATCTCCGTCTCTTCCTCACGCGAATGACGGGGATTTGGGCCTTGTCGGGTGTCTGTATGATATCCTTTGCGGCCGCCTCGTTGAAGAAAAAATCTTCGTCCAATACGAGGTGAGTAATCGCTGTCCTGATATCCAGAAGCTCTTTTTGGTTATAAGAGACGATGGCAGAAACATTATGTACAAAATAAATTACAAATAACGCGGAAAAACACACATAATAGTACAAATGCTACGGCGCTGTGAGGGGAACGGCACCTCCGTACCTTCAGGCTCTGATCAGTCCCTACACCCAAACGAGGGCACTGCGTTCATCCACCTCTGGCCTGCTGGCTCCCCTACCTCTGCGGAAGCATAGTTCCCGCTCAGCCCAGTCAAAACTGTTCGCTGCTCTGGCACCCCAATGGTGGAACAAGCTCCCTCACGACGCCAGGACAGCGGAGTCACTCACCACCTTCCGGAGACATTTGAAACCCCACCTCTTTAAGGAATACCTGGGATAGGATAAAGTAATCCTTCTACCCCCCCCCCCCCCCCCCCCCATTTACTCCAACCCCCCCACAAAAAAAATAAAAAATAAAAATCATTGTAAAGTGGTTATCCCACTGGCTATAAGGTGAATGCACCTATTTGTAAGTCGCTCTGGATAAGAGCGTCTGCTAAATGACGTAAATGTAAATGTAAATGTAAATGGTTAGAGGGCTGTAAAACGGCAGCCATCTTCTCCGGCGCTGTCTACAAGACAAGATACCCTCCAATATAACAGGCTATTGTGCAATAAACAAGGAGAGGACATCACATTTCAAGCTTTTTATGATTTAGATTAGTTGTTTTGATATGATTAGCAATACAATTTAAATGCTCCTGACCACAATACTGTATTGTGTTTTTCTAAATTGTAGCTTAGCTCATAAAGGGAATTGCGTTGACTGTTTCCTTGGCTCCTTACTAGAACACCACAACAGACTGGGTGAACCAGGAGTGTTGAGCAAGCCAGGCCAGCTCTGTATTGACTTATCAGTTACACTGAGCGAGCCCCTGGAAAACCACACATCAACACTGGGAAAACATTTGAAAACATTGGCCCACACGCAACATTTGGGATAAAGTGACATTCTTAGGTTTATCTGTGGAAAGTAATGCAGACAGACTCAGTAAACTTGCCGTTGTCAGTGACTTTGAGCAGCCGGAGCATAGCAGGCGAGTTGTTATTGTATGAACCGTGTTGGTTCAAAGGTTAAGGAATGGAGCTGGAAAAACACATTGAACATATATGCTTTGAGTCAATCACATACACTGACAAGACATGGGGCCATGAGCTATGGACCAGTTATATAGTGAGGGCAATTTTGTAGTTAGTTCGTTTTTTCTCTTAGTAGCTGATTCATAGACAGAACATACACTACATGACCAAAAGTATGTGGACACCTGCTCATCGAACATCTCATTCCAAAATCATCGGCATTAATATGGAGTTGGTCCCCCCTTTGCTGCTATAACAGTCTCTACTCTTCTGGGAAGGCTTTCCACTAGATGTTGGAACTTTGCTGCGGGGACTTGCTTCCATTCAGCCACAAGAGCATTAGTGAGGTCGGGCACTGATGTTGGGAGATTAGGCCTGGCTCACAGTCGTCGTTCCAATTCATCTCAAAGGTGTTCGATGGGGTTGAGGTCAGGGCTCTGTGCAGGCCAACCAAGTTCTTCGACACAGATTTCGACAAACCACGTTTCCACTTCACAATAACAGCACTTACAGTTGACTGGGGCCGCTCTAGCAAGGCAGAAATTTGACGAACTGACTTGTTGGAAAGATGGCATCCTATGACGGTGCCACGTTGAAAGTCACTGAGCTCTTTAACAATGCCATTCTATTGCCAATATTTGTCTATGGAGATTGCATGGCTGTGTGCTCGATTTTATACACCTGTCAGCAACGGGTGTGGCTGAAATAGCCGAATCCACTAATTTGAGTCCACATAATTTTGTATACAGTTGAAGTTGGAAGTTTACATACACTTAGGTTGGAGTCATTAAAACTTGTTTTTCAACCACTCCACAAATTTCTTGTTAACAAACTATAGTTTTGGCAAGTCGGTTAGGATATCTACTTTGTGCATGACACAAGTAATTTTTCCCACAATTGTTTACAGACAGATTATTTCACTTATAATTCACTGTATCACAATTCCAGTGGGTCAGAAGTTTACATACACTAAGTTGACTGTGCCTTTAAACAGCTTGGAAAATTCCAGAAAATGATGTCATGGCTTTAGAAGCTTCTGATAGGCTAATTGAGTCAATTGGAGGTGTACCTGTGGATGTTTTTCAAGGCCTACCTTCAAACTCAGTGCCTCTTTGCTTGACATCATGGGAAAATCAAAAGAAATCAGCCAAGACCTCAGTTTTTTTTTATAGACCTCCACAAGCTGGTTCATCCTTGAGAGCAATTTCCAAACGCCTGAAGGTACCGCGTTCATCTGTACAAACAATAGTATGCAAGTATAAACACCATGGGACCACGCAGCCGTCATACCGCTCAGGAAGGAGACGCGTTCTGTCTCCTAGAGATGAATGTACTTTGGTGCAAATCAATCCCAGAACAACAGCAAAGGGCCTTGTGAAGATGCTGGAGGAAACAGGTACAAAATATCTATATCCACAGTAAAACAAGTCCTATATCGACATAACCTGAAAGGCCACTCAGCAAGGAAGAAGCCACTGCTCCAAAACCGCCATAAAAAAGCCAGACTACGGTTTGCAACTGTACATGGGGACAAAGATCATACTTTTTGGAGAAATGTCCTCTGTTTTGATAAAACAAAAATATAACTGTTTGGCCATAATGACTATCGTTATGTTTGGAGGAAAAAGGGGGCTGCTTGCAAGCCGAAGAACACCATCCCAACAGTGAAGCACGGGGGTGGCAGCATCATGCTGTGGGGGTGCTTTGCTGCAGGAGGGACTGGTGCACTTCACAAAATAGATGGCATCATGAGGAAGGAAAATTATGTGGATATATTGAAGCAACATCTCAAGACATCAGTCAGGAAGTTAAAGCTTGGTCGCAAATGGGTCTTCCAAATGGACAATGACCCCAAGCATACTTCCAAAGTTGTGGCAAAATGGCTTAAGGACAACATAGTCAAGGTATTGGAGTGGCCATCACAAAGCCCTGACCTCAATCCTATAGAAAATGATTGGGCAGAACTGAAAAAGCGTGTGCGAGCAAGGAGGCCTACAAACCTGACTCAGTTACAACAGCTCTGTCAGGAGAAATGGGCCAAAATTCACCCAACTTATTGTGGGAAGCTTGTGGAAGGCTACCCGAAACGTTTGACCCATGTTAAACAATTTAAAAGCAACGCTACCAAATACTAATAGAGTGTATGTAAACTTCTGACCCACTGGGAATGTGATGAAAGAAATAAAAGCTGACATAAATCATTCTCTCTACTATTATTCTGACATTTCACATTCTTAAAATAAAGAGGTGATCCTAACTGACCTAAGACAGGGAATTTTTACTAGGATTAAATGTCAGGAATTGTGAAAAACTGAGTGTATTTGGCTAAGGTGTATGTAAACTTCTGACTTCAACTGTATATCGTGTAACCTACATCCACTTGGACCATGGTGGTCCTGATTTGAAAGGTGATTTAAAAGGTGACTTGAGGATTTCGTTGAGCGACAAACGACATGCTTATCAAGGACATGACGTGGCATCCCGGAATGCCAGCATTCCAGAATCTTGGCCTAATTCCTACATCACACACGCACATCAACAAAGTTAATGTATTTTGTACATCAATAATGTTTGTTTATTACAAAATCTGAAATAACCCAACTTTACACTGTACAAGATACAACGTTGTTTACAGCTGTAGTAGTCATTTATTTACAAAAGTCTGCGTATCAAAGTGATGTGCTAAAAAGGCATTTTTCAATCACTGTAAGCTTTTATAGAAGTAAGGCAAAATACTTGAATCTTGATGTATTTACATTTTTGCAGATCAAGTGAAATTCGTCATCTCTCTATCTAATGGTCAGGTTTAAAGTCTACAGCATAGGAGGTGGAAACACTGTGATTCTACAGCTGCCACAGAGGTTGCTAAGTCTGTACGTATTTGCAGAATACTGTTTTGTGTGTGTGTGTGTGTTTGTGTGTCTGTGATTCATGCAGGGGTGCATGTCTGTGTGTGTGTGTGTGTGTAGGTGCGAGCATGCATACGTAAGTGTTGGTGGTTGTGTGTAAGATATACAGAATGTATATATTACTACCGTTAATACTACAGTGACTGCTCCAGGTTTGGCATTAACTAAAGTTCTATAGCGCACATCAGGGACTCAGGGATGAGGGCATCGCTCTGTGGGTCAAAGCCAACGTACCTTACCCAATGCCTCTTTTACCGACCTCACTGTCACTTCAAAGCCTTGGCCACAGCCTGCTGCGTGTATAGCCGACACAGTACACACACTCCCACACATAATCCCTATCAGAGCAGAGCAATGGACGAATAACAAGCCTTGATCAATACACTAGCTCAACAAGGTCATGGATGCAAACAAAGCTACGTCTGACTGTGTGTGTTGCACCTGGTTCCCTACATTAGAAATAACACTAAGTGAATTACCCTTATCTAAAACCAGACAATTCTGGTTCTAAACAGTCTTACTAAACAGCCATGTTTATTTGTTTGGATCCATGAGACTTAAAATATGTAATATGAAGTAAACCATATATCTTGCCTATTGAGTGTTTAACCTCCCTGACCATGACTTGCTTTAGAAAGCCAGACACCTAGACGCCAGTAGTGCGCCTGTTGTGAAGGATGAAGTACTAAACCACAGGATCTTGCTTTGGTTTACACTCGAGGGGGAACCAGACCAGCACTAACAGGTCATGCACTACTAAAGACGTTGTGTCAAAAGCCTTTTGAGATGTTGAGAACTCTTTGAATGTATAAAAATTGTATTTGTGCTATTTCGTTTAAGATTTAAGGTCGAACACCCACATGCATACACACATATAAATACTTGTGTATGAATACACATTTGCATGCATAGCGTACGTACAGTAAACAGAATAAAAGTAGCCTACATAGAAATGTTATTACACCTTGAAGGATGGAATGTATCCTTGGCATAATTAGAGAAGAAGACATAAAAAAGTTCAGTCTTCTTATGTGGATAATACTGGGCTGTACTTTGTGCATGTCCCCCTGTTGGGAGTGTACACACACAGACGGACAACACACTATCACCTGGCTGCCACACTCACTCATACTCCTGGTAATGTCACGAAGAGCCTGATGTTCCAATGCTGGAAGCCTGAATTCTTCAGTTGATTGTGTTTGGTTGCAAACAGTGGCAAGTCACTATTTATGTAACAACAAACTCAATCAAGTCTGCAGGTTGATTGCAATCGTGATTTTATTGTGCAGCCATCCTTGGTGTGATTGTCCAGTTGTCCAGTCTGACCATCCTCAGAGCCAGGTAACTCCTGGAGGAGCATCCCTCCATTGTGCAGTGGGCTGTCCCAGTATCCCAGTGTCCCATTTACCCACAGGAGACCCTGGTACAGTCTATAGTGGGACCCCCAATGACTCCTGACGGATGTGATAGCCCAGGACCGGGAGGTCCGGAACTCGTTTACAACAGTGCAGCACTTCTCTCCACCTCCCTACACCGCCACTTCTTTCACCCGTTCCACCACCACTCCTCCCACATCGACATCTGTCTCCTCTTCTTCATCCTCCTCTCCCAGAGTGGGCACGCAGGGTGAGGGCAAGCATGGCATGGGGTGGATGCTGACACTTACACTGGGGCTAGAGCTGCTGTTACCCATGCCACCGAGGCTAACCATGCTGGCGCGAACTGTGAAGCTGGCGACAGAGTTGACACTGCCCAGTTTGGTGGGAACGCTGGCCTTGCCGCAGGAGTGGGCGCGGCGGTTCAGGCTGGCAGAGCGCACCACGGAGGAGGTGGTGGCGCAGCCCGCACTGTGGACCTTGCCCTCCAGGAAGTAGGTGAGCATCTCACCCTTACCCTTCACGCTGACCTTCCCCCGGCACACCAGGTCATAGTTATCCCCCAGGATACGGTACACATCCTCTGTTACCTGGGGGAGGAAGGGAGGGAGTGCGAGAGAGAGAGAGAGAGAGAGAGAGAGAGGTTAAACCACTGTCATACAATGAGATTTACTCACCAACACCAATCTACTCAGGGCCAATCCTCAAGACTCAAACATAACTCATAATTGAATACGGTACCTGTATCTTGCCAGGGACTCCGGTGCTGTCCATGCGGCTGGCCACGTTCACTGTGTTACCCCAGATATCATACTGAGGCCTCCTAGCCCCGATCACCCCTGCCACCACCGGACCCACGTTGATACCCACTCTCAAGACAAAGTCGTTGTATGACTGGTAGTTGATTTCATCCAGCACATCAAACATCTCAATAGCATAGTCTGCCACTGTGCTCAGGTGATCATAGACAGATCTTTTGTCCTGTAGAAAGGAGAAAGGAAGTAAAACATATATTATATGTCATAATCACATTCATTCATTGTCCTTGTTATTTTCATCTTTTTTTTATTTAACAAACACACACACACACACACACACACACACACACACACACACACACCTTTGTTCCGATGGTCGGGACTAGACCCACTGCTGCCATATACGTGCTGCCAATGGTTTTGATTTTCTCAATGTCCTTATAGCAATCTTTATCCATGAGCTGTGGAAAAAGAAACAAGATTCACACCTATACACAGAAGAATAGAACACATTCTAATGTTAATCCCCCAGTTAACTGTAGCAGCCGAAAGGGCGTCACCTCGTCAAAATCAGCAATGATTTCATTGAGTAGTCTCAGACACTCTACTCCCATGTTGTTCCCATCCAGCTCAATGTAGAAGTCATTGAAGTTGGGGATGGAAGCAAACAGCACTCCGACTTGGGCATAGGACTGGTAATACAGATCCTATAGAAGAACAGATAGTCATCCTTAAACTATACATATGACAAGGTATCGTTAATCCTATTAGACTTTGAGGGGTTATATCCTTTATGAAACATCAATGCCATCTATCCGTCTATCCGCCCGTCCGTCCGTCCATCCATAGGACTCACCATGTTTCTGGGGTTGGACAGGAGGAAGTGTTGTGCCACGTGAGCAGGAAGCAGGTTGAAAAGAATCCGCCTGTTGTCCAGCTTGACCTTCTCCATGCCATCCCTCTCCTCCTCTGCCTGACAACACATACACACACACGCACCCACAAATACCATACACCAATTTGAATAAAACTGGAACATTATATTCACCCCACAGTACAACTCAAGCCTGCAGTTCAATGCTCTTCCCACAAGGTGTCAGTAAAAGCTCTAAATGTACACCAGGACTGAGGCGCTGTGTTAGCCTGACGTTGTGGATAAGGAGCACTAGGTAGAATCAATAGCTATCAATAGCTAAAGGTCCAAACCATATAATTAAGAATTAGAATACTATATAGTAATGTAATAGGATATCTATGGTCCAAATCTAAAGCCAAACCCTACTAGAGGCTATAACTGTCCTACCAGCTGAGTGGCTCTCTCCTGACCAACCATACCAATATTAGCGTTGTTCTATCGTAACCAACAATACCAATATCAGCTTTGTCCTATCCTAACCAACCATACCAATATTAGCGTTGTCCTATCATAACCAACAATACCAATATCAGCCTTGTCCTATCCTAACCAACCATGCCAATATTAGTATTGTCCCATTGTAACCAACCATGCCAATATCAGCCTTGTCTTATCGTAACCAACCATGCCAATAGCCTGGCACATGGCAGCCAAAAGCATCCAAATATGCCAATTTCCTTAAAACCCAATAGTTGACTTGGCATGGTATGGTCACAACAGAAGGCTGGATGATAGAGTAAACTTAGCATGGTTTCATAAGCTAGCTAGATCTATGCATAGGACAAGAGAGATGCACAAGGCCCTGAAACACACAGAGACACACACACACAAACACACCTGTGTGGCCCAAAGGAAGTCCAGTCGTAGTTTGAGGTCCAGTTGTCTGGAGTGGAGGGCCAGGGCACTGATGAACAGTAGCAGGGACAGGATGGGCTCATAGCCCCGGATCTGGAGATTAGACCCTCCACTGTGGGACAAACCAATAGAGACATCAGCAACATATACAAAAGGACTGTACCACATCATTAATTAAAAGGGGAGTTGAAGTATATGGAGAGACCCCCCTCCATCCCCACAGAGATATAACACTATGGATCCCCCACTGTGGGAGAAACCAACAGAGAAGTCAGCAATATAAGTAGGTACACAGTAGGACTGTACCACATCATAAATTAATAGGGGAAGTAGGGAGATGTAGAGAGACCCACCCACTGTGGGAACAGACCAACAGAGACGTCAGCAACATAATACAGTAGGACGGTACCACATCATTAATAAAAGGAGGAGTGGGTGACCAGATAAATACAGTGGGGAGTACAACTTCACAGGCGTGATGTGGAGAGACCCCCCACTTTTTGAGAACCAACTTTGATGGTGATGTCAGCAACAACCCCAGGAAAACACGGACAGGGGGACTTAAACCAGTAGTGAGTTAACAGCATTCATTCAGCACGGATATAGTATTTAGGGAAAATAATGCCCCTCTAGAGAACAATGAGTCGTTTTCTATCTCAATGATATCAAAGTATTCCAGCGTTATACAGTAAGCCATCTGTTTGTTGCTATACAGTGGGTCTGTGCTCTGAGCTGCACTAGGGCCTAGGTTCTGAGCAGGAGTACCTAACATGCTTGCCTGAATCAAGCACAAGCACTTATCTATTTTTACTTATCTATTTCTTTACTTAACACTTATTTTTCTTAAAACTGCATTGTTGGTTAACGGCTTGTAAGTAAGCATTTCACTGTAAGGTCTACACCTGTTGTATTCAGCACATGTGGCAAATACAATTTGATTTGATTTGAAGCACACATTGTTGGCTCAGCCTTTTGATTTAGAGTTCATGAGCATGTACTGTGTGTGTCCTCATCAAAGAGCTCCAATGAGAGTGTGTAGGCCGAGGATAAGAAAAGACTCCTCTTCTCCACACGTCCCCACAAAATGTAAATGTCCCTGTGACTGTTGTTTGTTTGTTCCCACTCCAGATCGAACCAAGAGGAAACTGTGGCTGACACTACTGCCATGTATAATCTGAAGGCTGTATCTTTAGGCCTGACAGTGGGAGGAAGATGGGTGTGTTTGTTAATTTTTTCGATTTCATCCTGCTTACTGTGTACTTGTTTCTATACATATGGTGTGTGTCGGTCCTCTCTCTCGCCCGGCAGTTTATGTGCGCCAGTGTGTGTATTGGTTAGGGATGTCACGATTCACCAATACGCATTGCTCCACAGTTCAAATGTTTAAGATACGACTGCTTCTGCGCTGCAACCTGGTCTCAGAGCATTTCGTATTATTCTGTAGGTAAATCCGAGACACTCCATTTAGTATGATATGACACACAGAAGGGTATAGACACATGCATGCGCACACATTGTGATATTGTTGTATGGTGGTATTAAACATTTCGTATTGTAGATAGGTAGTGGTGTAATAATGTCATATGATGTACTGTTTTATATTTTGTTTTATATGTAATGTAAGTGCTTTAATATGTTTGGACCCCAGGAAGAGTAGCTGCTGCCTTGGCAGCAGCTAATGGGGATCCCTAATAAATACAAATACAAATGTTATGTTTTGTATGGACCCCAAACCGATCCAAATGTGGTATGCATCGGTCAGAAAATGTATTCAAACGTTATGAATCATCGATTATTATTTTTTTGTGGCTCATATTAGTTTCTTTCGACCTTCCGAAAAAAGCTCATATTTTGTGACAACTGATGCGTCCTTTCCTTCAGTGTCGAACTGCATGTAACTATGTTGACAGTCATTGATCTACATGTCATTTTGAATGCCGAGAACAACCCCAGGGAATATCAGTAGCCTAGTCAAACTGTGCACTGTGCCAGCTTCGTACGCTGACCAAGCGAGGAGGTAGGCGGCCTGTTCCTGATCTTGCAAATCTGCGCGGCACCTTCAGCATTCAAATGCTAAAATGGCTTGCATGATATTAGGATTTATTAGTTAAGTGACAACCTATGTAATTTGATAGGTTATTGTTATCTATGCGCTGTTAAAATTTTTGTTTTATTGTGTTTTTTTTAAAAGTAAGCTAATGGAGACACAACTCACATCTGTCTATATCCTACCTGCTGAACGGGGCTTACAATCAATTTTATTTTGATGGTTCAGGTTCACCATCAGCAATCGTTTTGGTAGTTTTGCTTTAAACAATCAGTATATATGATAATTTTTATAGGTAGAATGGAGAATGAATGTGTTTATGCAACAAATGTTAGTGCATCGAATCGTATTGCATCGAACCGAATCGCATCGAATCGTTCTCTAATCAAACCGAATCGCACTGAATCATTTCAAACTAAAACGTATCGTTCCTGTATCGTATTGGAGCCCATGTATCTAGATACGTATCGAATCGTCTTGAAAGGGAAAGATACACATCCCTAGTACGTGTGTGTGTCCTCTCTCACCCAACAGTATGTGTGTCTGATTAGTCTTCTCTCTTACCTTGCGGTGCGTCTAAATCCGCTGAGCTCCAGCACAGTGACATACAGCACCCCCAGGAGGAGCAACAGCGCCATCTTTGGCATCCAGGAGACGCGCAGGAACAGTGCCAGTGTCAGCGTGCCCACAACGCACGACAGGAAGGCGTAGCGGGCACCGTCGCACGGCAGCTCCATCATGGTATGGTTGAAACTGCGTAGCGGGCCTGCGTCGATGTTGATGATTGAGCTGTTGGAGTGGTGGTCACTGCCCCACAGCCACGGCATGCAGCCCACCTGGGAGAAAAAGATAGGAGAGGAGATGAAAGGAGAGGAGAGGAGTGAGTATGGCAAATGCTAATGCCTCTCAAGCAGTAATTCAAAGGTTGGGTCCTTGCATATTTGATTGACATGACATTTACATTAATGAGTTCAAGTGTATTGCAATGAATATGAGTGTTGGTGGTTTCGTGCCATGATGTTAACCCTACTTACCACACAGGCCTGGGCTACAGCATAGATTAAGAGCACTATGAGAACACACAGAACAGTACGGATCTGAATGGTGAGGCACCCTGGAAAACACTGAGAGAGAGAGAGAGAGAGAGAGAGAGAGAGAGAGAGAGAGAGAGAGAGAGAGAGAGAGAGAGAGAAAGAGATTAAGGAGGAAAGGGGAGGGAGAGTTGTAAGAATTTGAATTTGAAAAGACACTTAATTTATATAATATTACCTGAGGGGTTTGGGGAAGTTGGAAAAAGTCAAACTGTCAACCTCAACAAAAGCTGAAATTAATAGACTTAGCATTGAGTTTGAAGGCAAACAGTGTGATTTACAAAATGTTCTGAAGGCCATTGACATCAACTTACATACAGCAGATTCCCATCATAGACTACTTATGAAAATATAATAGAATATTTGCCGATGTCAGACTTTTTTTTTTATATTTGCTCAATTAAACTTACCAGTGCTAACTTATCACAAATTACTTATAGCTTGGGCCAAGAGTTTCTCGTGACCACTTGACCTACCCAAGGAAAACTACTTACAGCTAATGAGCCAGTCAGAAAAGTGAGTGAGTGAAGAAGTAAAATAACATGTTAAATCAGATGGTGACCAAGGCATCAAGCAGACATTTACCTGTAATTTAGTGACATGCAGGTACATGATACAAACTATTAGGAAACAGATGCAGAAGACCAATAGGACCAGAACCACTGTTCCCCTGGTGACAGCAGCAGGAGAGAGGAGGAAGAAAGTGGAAGAAAGAGGGGAGAGAGAGAGGAGACAAATAAGAGGGAGAGTTAGTGGTCCTCTGTAGCTCAATTGGTAGAACATGGCGCTTGTAACGCCAGGGTAGTGGGTTCGATCCCTGGGACCACCCATACGTAAAAATGTATGCACACATGACTGTAAGTCGCTTTGGATAAAAGCGTCTGCTAAATGGCATATTACAGTGGGGAAAAAAAGTATTTAATCAGCCACCAATTGTGCAAGTTCTCCCACTTAAAAATATGAGAGAGGCCTGTAATTTTCATCATAGGTACACGTCAACTATGACAGACAAATTGAGGAAAAAAAATCCAGAAAATCACATTGTAGGATTTTTAATGAATTTATTTGCAAATTATGGTGGAAAATAAGTATTTGGTCACCTACAAACAAGCAAGATTTCTGGCTCTCACAGACCTGTAACAACTTCTTTAAGAGGCTCCTCTGTCCTCCACTCGTTACCTGTATTAATGGCACCTGTTTGAACTTGTTATCAGTATAAAAGACACCTGTCCACAACCTCAAACACAAACACTCCAAACTCCACTATGGCCAAGACCAAAGAGCTGTCAAAGGACACCAGAAACAAAATTGTAGACCTGCACCAGGCTGGGAAGACTGAATCTGCAATAGGTAAGCAGCTTGGTTTGAAGAAATCAACTGTGGGAGCAATTATTAGGAAATGGAAGACATACAAGACCACTGATAATCTCCCTCGATCTGGGGCTCCACGCAAGATCTCACCCCGTGGGGTCAAAATGATCACAAGAACAGTGAGCAAAAATCCCAGAACCACACGGGGGGACCTAGTGAATGACCTGCAGAGAGCTGGGACCAAAGTAACAAAGCCTACCATCAGTAACACACTATGCCGCCAGGGACTCAAATCCTGCAGTGCAAGACGTGTCCCCCTGCTTAAGCCAGTACATGTCCAGTCCCGTCTGAAGTTTGCTAGAGTGCATTTGGATGATCCAGAAGAGGATTGGGAGAATGTCATATGGTCAGATGAAACCAAATTATAACCTTTTGGTAAAAACTCAACTCGTCGTGTTTGGAGGACAAAGAATGCTGAGTTGCATCCAAAGAACACCATACCTACTGTGAAGCATGGGGGTGGAAACATCATGCTTTGGGGCTGTTTTTCTGCAAAGGGACCAGGACGACTGATCCGTGTAAAGGAAAGAATGAATGGGGCCATGTATCGTGAGATTTTGAGTGAAAACCTCCTTCCATCAGCAAGGGCATTGAAGATGAAACGTGGCTGGGTCTTTCAGCATGACAATGATCCCAAACACACCGCCCGGGCAACGAAGGAGTGGCTTCGTAAGAAGCATTTCAAGGTCCTGGAGTGGCCTAGCCAGTCTCCAGATCTCAACCCCATAGAAAATCTTTGGAGGGAGTTGAAAGTCCGTGTCGCCCAGCGACAGCCCCAAAACATCACTGCTCTAGAGGAGATCTGCATGGAGGAATGGGCCAAAATACCAGCAACAGTGTGTGAAAACCTTGTGAAGACTTACAGAAAACGTTTGACCTGTGTCATTGCCAACAAAGGGTATATAACAAAGTATTGAGAAACTTTTGTTATTGACAAATACTTATTTTCCACCATAATTAGCAAATAAATTCATTAAAAATCCTACAATGTGATTTTCTGGAATTTTGTTTCTCATTTTGTCTGTCATAGTTGACATGTACCTATGATGAAAATTGCAGGCCTCTCATCTTTTTAAGTGGGAGAACTTGCACATTTGGTGGCTGACTAAATACTTTTTTCCCCCACTGTATATATTATTATTATTAGTGGACAGAGCCTGTTGTAAGTCAACTCAAAAGGCAGCAGATCAAAAGAGAAGAGTGAGATGGGGGTGGAGGCTCACTTATTTTTGTTTATTTTCCTATTTGTTAACTCTGTAATATGATCATAATGATCAATAATTTGTATTTATGTACCTTTTTAAAAAAGTTTTTTATTTTTGAGTGGCAGCCCAGAGGTGAATACGAGTTATATTAATTTGTATATTGTACCTGTAACCCCCCCACCCCCCCCACACATAAAAAAAAGGACAAAATAAATAAACATTTGGTCACAAAAATAAATAAATCATACAGTAAAATGAAAGAGAGAAAGAGGGAACGAGAGCTACAGAGAGAGCTACAGAGAGAGAGTGTTGCTGTCAGACATCATATAGTAAAATGAAAGAGAGAGATAGAGGGAGAGTGAGCGAGCTACAGAATGTGTTGCTGTCAGATATCCTCTAATAATCTAATACATAATGTGGTAGGATGATATCCTCTAATAATCTAATACATACTGTGTTAGGATGATATCCTGTAATAATCTAATACATACTGTGGTAGGATGATGTCCTCTAATAATCTAATACATACTGTGGTAGAATGATATCCTCTAATCATCTAATACATACTGTGGTAGGATGATATCCACTAATCATCTAATACATACTGTGGTAGGATGATATCCACTAATCATCTAATACATACTGTGGTAGGATGATATCCACTAATAATCTAATACATACTGTGGTAGGATGATATCCACTAATCATCTAATACATACTGTGGTAGGATGATATCCACTAATAATCTAATACATACTGTGGGATGATGAGAAAGTAGACAAGGCCGAACAAGGCAGCTAGGATTAGAGAGAGGACTACAGCACTGGTGAAGTACTCATCATGGAGCTGGTGGTACTGTCAGAGAAACCAGAGAGATGGATTTTTCAGATATATGCAAAACAATTAATAAAGCAGACAAGGATGCAATGTCTATGAAAGAGTCTGATTCAAAAGTAATTGTGCATGTGTGTGTGTGTGTGTGTGTGTGTGTGTGTGTGTGTGTGTGTGTGTGTGTGTGTGTATACATATATACACTACCAGTCAAAAGTTTGGGCACACCTACTCATTCAAGGGTTTTTCTTTATTTTTACTATTTTCTACATTGTAGAATAATAGTGAAGACATTAAAACTATGAAATAACACATATGGAATCATGTAGTAACCAAAAGAGTGTTAAATAAATCAATATATTTTATATTTGAGATTCTTCAAAGTAGCCACCCTTTGCCTTGATGACAGCTTTGCACACTCTTGGCATTCTCTCAACCAGCTTCATGAGGAATGCTTTTCCAACAGTCTTGAAGGAGTTCCCACATATGCTGAGCACTTGTTGGCTGCTTTTCCGTCACTCTGCAGTCCAACTCATCCCAAACAATCTCAATTGGGTTGAAGTCGGGTGATTGTGGAGACCAGGTCATCTGATGCAGCACTCAATCACTCTCCTTCTTGGTCAAATAGCCCTTACACAGCCTGAAGGTGTGTTGGGTCACTGTCCTGTTGAAAAACATATGATAGTCCCACAAACCAGATGGGATGGCATGTCGCTGCAGAATGCTGTGGTAGCCATGCTGGTTAAGTGTGCCTTGAATTCTAAATAAATCACTGACAGTGCCACCAGCAAAGCACGCCCACACCATCACACCTCCTCCTCCATGCTTCACAGTGGGAAACACACATGCGGAGATCATCCGTTCACCTACTCCGCGTCTCACAAAGACACGGCCATTGGAATCAACAATCTCAAATTTGGACTCATCAGACCAAAGGACAGATTTCCACCGGTCTAATGTCGTGTTTCTTGGCCCAAGCAAGTCTCTTCATTTTATTGGTGTCCTTTAGTAGTGGTTTCTTTGCAGCAATTCGACCATGAAAGCCTGAATCACGCAGTCTCCTCTGAACAGTTGATGTTGAGATGTGTCTGTTACTTGAACTCTGTGAAGCATTTATTTGTGCTGCAATTTCTGATTGGCTAAAACGCATCAACCTTTAACAAGGCACACCTGTTAATTGAAATGCATTCCAGGTGACTACGTCATGAAGCTGGTTGAGAGAATGCCAAGAGTGTGCAAAGCCGTCATCAAGGGAAAAAAGTATTTGATCCCCTGCTGATTTTGTACGTTTGCCCACTGACAAAGACATGATCAGTCTATAATTGTAATGGTAGGTTTATTTCAACAGTGAGAGACAGAATAACAACAAAAAACCTCCCCTCTGCAAAACATGACTTAGTACTTGGTGGCAAAACCCTTGTTGGCAATCACAGAGGTCAGACGTTTCTTGTAGTTGGCCACCAGGTTTACACACATCTCAGGAGGGATTTTGTCCCACTCCTCTTTGCAGATCTTCTCCAAGTCATTAAGGTTTCGAGGCTGATGTTTGGCAACTCGAACCTTCAGCTCCCTCCACAGATTTTCTATGGGATTAAGGTCTGGAGACTGGCTAGGCCACTCCAGGACCTTAATGTGCTTCTTCTTGAGCCACTCCTTTGTTGCCTTGGCCGTGTGTTTTGGGTCATTGTCATTCTGGAATACCCACCCACTACCCATTTTCAATGCCCTGGCTCAGGGAAGGAGGTTCTCACCCAAGATTTGACGGTACATGGCCCCGTCCATCGTCCCTTTGATGCGGTGAAGTTGTCCTGTCCCCTTAGCAGAAAAACACCCCCAAAGCATAATGTTTTCACCTCCATGTTTGACGGTGGGGATGGTGTTCTTGGGGTCATAGGCAGCATTCCTCCTCCTCCAAACACGGCGAGTTGAGTTGACGCCAAAGAGCTGGATTTTGGTCTCATCTGACCACAACACTTTCACCCAGTTCTCCTCTGAATCATTCAGATGTTCATTGGCAAACTTCAGACGGGCATGTATATGTGCTTTCTTGAGCAGGGGGACCTTGTGGGCGCTGCAGGATTTCAGTCCTTCACGGTGTAGTGTGTTACCAATTGTTTTCTTGGTGACTATGGTCCCAGCTGCCTTGAGATCATTGACAAGATCCTCCCGTGTAGTTCTGGGCTGATTCCTCACCGTTCTCATGATCATTGCAACTCCACGAGGTGAGATCTTGCATGGAGCCCCAGGCCGAGGGAGATTGACAGTTATTTTGTGTTTCTTCCATTTGCGAATAATCGCACCAACTGTTGTCACCTTCTCACCAAGCTGCTTGCTGATGGTCTTGTAGCCCATTCCAGCCTTGTGTAGGTCTACAATCTTGTCCCTGACATCCTTGGAGAGCTCTTTGTTCTTGGCCATGGTGGAGAGTTTGGAATCTGATTGATTGATTGCTTCTGTGGACAGGTGTCTTTTATGCAGGTAACAAACTGAGATTAGGAGCACTCCCTTTAAGAGTGTGCTCCTAATCTCAGCTCGTTACCTGTATAAAAAGACACCTGGGAGCCAGAAATATTTCTGATTGAGAGGGGGTAAAATACTTATTTCCCTCATTAAAATGCAAATCAATTTCTAACATTTTTGACATGCGTTTTTCTGGATTTTGTTGTTGTTATTCTGTCTCTTACTGTTCAAATAAACCTACCATTAAAATTATAGACTGATCATGTCTTTGTCAGTGGGCAAACGTACAAAATCAGCAGGGGATCAAATACTTTTTTCCCTCACTGTATATGTTGTAAGTGTAGTACAGTCACTCACCCTCTGCTCGCGCTCAGAGCACTTGTACATCAGTGTAAGGAAGTTGAGGTCAGCTGTGTCCGACTCTGTCTGCCTCGCCTCGATCAGACGACCAATGTAGCGGTTGACCCGCGTTCCCGGGCTGGCCTGGGTCACGTTAGCTGACACCGATGTCCGGTTCCGCAGCTTATCTGGAGCCGTCCGTAGGGCCCTCCGCTGTGGCACAGCATTGTGGGAAACGGAGTCCTGACTTAACTACGTTCAGAGGGTTTGATACCAGCTGTTCAAAACAATGGGGCATGGAGGAAAAATACTACTGGGCTTTTACTGTCTATTGTTGAGGATCACTGTGGGGTAGAGACAGTTTATACTTAACTGCATTTAGGTATGTTTGTGACGATACCAGTATTGCAATATCGCAATATCGCAATATTCGATTTTCCATGCCAAAAAAGAAAACACAAAGCAGGAGAAAGTCTTTGGTCCTTTGAAAACCTACTTTATGTAAAATCATGTGTGCAATAGCTTGGAAAATAAACAAATGTGACTCTGGATGACAACATAATAATGTTTGTTTCAAACATTAGGGCTTTTTTCCTCAATAAATTAAATCTACCTCATGTTTTGTTTCCTTGCCATGATACTTCTGAGCATCACGATACTGGTATTGTGACAACCCTATTTAGCACGTACAGTTGAAGTCGGAAGTTTACATACACTTAGGTTGGAGTCATTAAAACTTGTTTTTCAACCACTCCACAAATTTCTTGTTAACAAACTATAGTTTTGGCAAGTCGGTTAGGACATCTACTTTGTGCATGACACAAGTCATTTTACCAACAATTGTTTACAGACAGATTATTTCACTTATAATTCACTGTATCACAATTCCAGTTGGTCAGAAGTTTACATACACTAAGTTGACTGTGCCTTTAAACAGCTTTGTAAAATTCCAGAAAATTATGTTATGGCTTTAGAAGCTTCTGATAGGCTAATTGACATCATTTGAGTATGAAAATGTATGCACTCACTAACTGTAAGTCGCTCTGGATAAGAGCGTCTGCTAAAATGTAAAAGAAAATTGGAGGTGTACCTGTGGATGTATTTCAAGGCCTACCTTCAAACACAGTGCCGCTTTTCTTGACATCATGGGAAAATCAAAAGAAATCAGCCAAGACCTTAGAAAAAAAATCGTAGAGCTCCACAAGTCTGGTTCATCCTTGGGAGCCATTTCCAAACCTCTGAAGGTACAACGTTCATCTGTGCAAACAATAGTATGCAAGTATAAACACCATGGGACCACGCAGCCGTCATACCGCTCAAGAAGGAGACGCATTCTGTCTCCTAGAGATGAACGTACTTTGGTGCGAAAAGTGCAAATCAATCCCAGAACAACAGCAAAGGACCTTGTGAAGATGCTGGAGGAAACAGGTACAAAATTATCTATATCCACAGTAAAACAAGTCCTATATCGACATAACCTGAAAGACCACTCAGCAAGGAAGAAGCCACTGCTCCAAAACCACCATAAAAAAGCCAGACTACAGTTTGCAACTGCACATTGGGACAAAGATTGTACTTTTTGGAGAAATGTCCTCTGGTCTGATGAAACAAGAACTGTTTGGCCATAATGACCATTGTTATGTTTGGAGGAAAAAGGGGGAGCTTGCAAGCCAAAGAACACCATCCCAACCGTGAATCACGGGGGTGGCAGCATCATGCTGTGGGGGTGCTTTGCTGCAGGAGGGACTGGTGCACTTCACAAAATAGATGGCATCATGAGGAAGGAAAATTATGTGGATATATTGAAGCAACATCTCAAGACATCAGTCACGAAGTTAAAGCTTGGTCGCAAATGGGTCTTCCAAATGGACAATGACCCCAAGCATACTTCCAAAGTTGTGGCAAAATGGCTTAAGGACAACAAAGTCAAGGTATTGGAGTGGCCATCACAAAGCCCTGTCCTCAATCCTATAGAAAATGTGTGGGCAGAGCTGAAAAAGCGTGTGGGAGCAAGGAGGTCTACCAACCTGACTTAGTTACACCAGCTCTGTCAGGAGGAATGGGCCAAAATTCACCCAATTTATTGTGGGAAGCTTGTGGAAGGCTACCTGAAACGTTTGACCCAAGTTAAACAATTTAAAGGCAATGCTACCAAATACGAATTGAGTGTATGTAAACTTCTGACCTACTGGGAATGTGATGAAATAAATAAAAGCTGAAATAAATCATTCTCGCTACTATTATTCTGATATTTCACATTCTTAAAATAAAGTGGTGATCCTAACTGACCTAAGACAGGGAATTTTTACTAGGATTAAATGTCAGGAATTGTGAAAAACTGAGTTTAAATGTATTTGGCTAAGGTGTATGTAAACTTCCGACTTCAACTGTATATCACAAACCATTCAACAACAATATTGACCATGGAGTAAGAAGAGGTTTGTTCTAGTAGTACTCAAAACTAAAACGTGAATAAGGGCAATGAAACAAAGTCAATCATTGTGGTTGACTTGACTTCACATTAGTCAATAAGTGACATCAACATAATAAATGCTTAACTTCACACAACAAACAAAAAATCCATTATTCCATCTACAGTTAACATTCATTATTCACTCTACAGGTAACATTCAGTATTCATTCTACAGGTAACATTCAGTATTCACTCTACAGGTAACATTCAGTATTCACTCTACAGGTAACATTAATTCTCTGACCCAACTAAACACCCTTTCCTTAAGTGTCCATCGGAAGTGAGCATCATTATTGTACACTACGCTATGTGGGGCAGTAGAGCAGAAGCAGTGATTTAACGCCAAAGAGAATGAGGATACGTCCCAAATGGCACCCTATTCCCTTCGTAGTGCACTATATAGGGAATAGGGTGCCATTTGGGATGAAGCCTGAGTGAGTCTTCCTGGATAAAGGTAGAAAGTCAGTGAGCTGTACAGACTAAAGCCCATCAGTATAACAGTGTGAGAGCCAGTTGGTAGGCGAGGAGTGGCTGAAGAGAGTAGCTTCATAATGAGGACAGGGGGGAGACAGAGCGAATGAGGAATGTTGAGGAAGGTTAACACACACCCCACTGAATTCATCCTCATCATCCTTCATCCTTTAACACCCCTCACGTTCTGTTGGTTGTTTTGGAGGTGTGTGTTCATTGTTTATGCTAATGAGTGTTTATATGTCTGTGTTAAAAGCCTGTCTCTCACCCCTTTCCTCTCCTGTCTTTCTCTCGCTCTCTCTAGTCTCTCTCTTCAGTTTCTCCCTCTCTCTCCCACACTCTCCATTTGTCTCTCTCTCTCTTTTTATCTCTTTATCTCTCTCTCTTTGTCTCTCTCTCTCTCTTTGTTTCTCTATCTCCCACTCTAATATATTCACCACAGGATGTGAACTTCTGCATATGACCCAATCGTTTGGAGATGGTCTGGGGAGCATAGGACACTCATCACATCACACACCCACGCCTGCACTGAGCACACTCATCCTTTCTCTCCTTCCTCCTCTCCCGTCACCCTCTATCTCTCTCTCTCTACTTCTCTCCCTGAGTCTGTGTCATTTCCGACAGCCTGGAGAGAGTGTGTGTGTGGCCTGAATCTTAATCTCTCATTCTGTGTCGAGTATATTTACACTGTCCTTTTCCACTCCTGTGTATTATCTTGTCTATGTCTACATGCTTTCATCCAGGGTTATCACGAAGCAAACGGAAACAGTTTCAAACTCAGTTAGAGATGATCGTATTAACTTTACATAGTCACAGCTCTATGACATATTACATAAGTGTAGAGGTAGGTGAGTGTACCAAGTTTCATGCTTTTATCTGAAAGTGCGAGATTATTTTGGTTCTTATCCGCTGAACTACACCTCCTTTTTCCACACACACCCACACAGACCTGAGCATCTGCATTTAAATACCCTGAGCCAGAGTTGAACTGTAGCCAGACCTCAGGATTTCTTCACAAGAATAGCAGGTCAAGTAAACACACTGACACTTAGCCAGATTACCAGAGGATTTGAAAGTAAGCTGATGAAGGTCAACTAAGTCTGGGTGGCTGGTACTCCTCATTGAGGACACACACACTTGCACGCACACACACCCGCACGCTTGCACACACATACACACACACACACGCGCATACAACGCCTCTCCCTCTCTACATTCCCTTACACAACACACACACACACACACACACACACACACAATACACACGCACATGCATGTACACACACATGAACACATTTCATGTATACACATACAACTTCTCTGTCTCTACACTCCCTTACATAACACACACACAAAGCCCTTACCTTGTCACCATCCTCACAGTTCATGGCATTTGAGAAGGGTATCTCGGCCTTGAACATCTTCCTACAGTGCATGAGCTGCACCAGCAAGTAGCACACCGTCTTAAACTTCATCTTTTTGGCAGGCTTTATATCCGACAGAATCAATCCTGGGAATATCTGTCAACAAACAAGCAGTGAGAGCAGGGGTTAAAATACACACTATGATACAGTAGATACACTTCAGTAGATATGGTTTCACCCCAGATTACAGTACACAAACACAAACACAAACACATGCAAACAACTCTCCCTGTGGCGTCTCTTCTCTCTCTCTTCTCTTAGATGAAGTAGAGCTGTCGGCTCGTCTATTAAGAGGATTAACCAAGTGTGTGTCTTAAATGGCACCCTATTTCCTATTTAGTGCAATTGTTCAAAATTGGTGCACTTCATAGAGAGCCATTTGGGCCACAACCTTAGTCAAGTGTCCCACATCTGACAGAGGAGGAGAGTAGAAGAAGACAGGGTGGTTGAACGGCCTTCTGAGACACTGTGACACTACTGTGAAGGTTCATATAAGGATCCACATACATATACTCTTACATAATGTGATAAAAGTGTACAATTGCTAAAGAAAGTCGTACACTCATCTCTCCTTGCTTGTGGATTTATTAACCAACGTTCCGGCTGAAGAGCCTTGACTGTTTCATTTATCTTCCATTAGTCAGCAGTCTCAGCACCTCACCAGACTGTGCATTGTTCATTTCTTTACAGTGTGCCAGTAGAATAGCCAAGCAGCACATGATAAATGCACAGGCGTCAGGCATCAGGAAGTCAGCCCCTCTCTCCAGACCTAATAAAGTCTGCAAGGCGAGGATAGGGTAGGGTAGGAGAAGGAGATAGCAGGAGAGGAGATAGATAGATCCCGACGAACAGTCTTGTGCTGACGTTGCTTCTAAAGTTTGGAACTCGGTAGTGAGTGTTGCAACCGAGGACAGACGATCTTTACGTGCTTCAGCACTCGGCGGTCCCGTTCTGTGAGCTTGTGTAGCCTACCACTTCGCGGCTGAGCCGTTGTTGCTCCTAGACGTTTCCACTTCACAATAACATCACTTACAGTTGGCCGGGGCAGCTCTAGCAGGGCAGAAACTTGACGAACTGACTTGTTGGAAAGGTGGCATCCTATGACGGTGCCACGTTGAAAGTCACTGAACTCTTCAGCCAATGTTTGTCTATGGAGATTGCATGGCTGTGTGCTCGATGTTATACACCTGTCAGCAACGGGTGTGGCTGAAATAGCCAAGTCCACTAATTTGAAGGGGTGACCACATACTTTTGTATATATAGTACAGACAGACAGACAGACAGACAGACAGACAGACAGACAGACAGACAGACAGACAGACAGACGGGCAGGCGGGCAGACGGGCAGGCGGGCAGGCGGGCAGGCAGGCGGGCAGGCAGGCGGACAGGCAGGCAGATAGATATATAGTGAGGTAAAAAAGTATTTGATCCCCTGCTGATTTTGTACGTTTGCCCACTGACAAAGACATGATCAGTCTATAATATTAAATGGTAGGTTTATTTGAACAGTGAGAGACAGAATAACAACAACAAAATCCAGAAAAACGCATGTCAAAAATGTTATAAATTGATTTGCATTTTAATGAGGGAAATAAGTATTTGACCCCCTCTCAATCAGAAAGATTTCTAGCTCCCAGGTGTCTTTTATACAGCTAACAAGCTGAGATTAGGAGCACACTCTTAAAGGCAGTGCTCCTAATCTCAGTTTGTTACCTGTATAAAAGACACCTGTCCACAGAAGCAATCAATCAATCAGATTCCAAACTCTCCACCATGGCCAAGACCAAAGAGCTCTCCAAGGATGTCAGGGACAAGATTGTAGACCTACACAAAGCTGGAATGGGCTACAAGATCGTCGCCAAGCAGCTTGGTGAGGAGGTGACAACAGTTGGTGCGATTATTCGCAAATGGAAGAAACACAAAATAACTGTCAATCTCCCTCGGCCTGGGGCTCCATGCAAGATCTCACCTCGTGGAGTTGCAATGATCATGAGAACGGTGAGGAATCAGCCCAGAACTACACGGGAGGATCTTGTCAATGATCACAAGGCAGCTGGGACCATAGTCACCAAGAAAACAATTGGTAACACACTACGCCGTGAAGGACTGAAATCCTGCAGCGCCCGCAAGGTCCCCCTGCTCAAGAAAGCACATATACAGGGCAGTCTGAAGTTTGCCAATGAACATCTGAATGATTCAGAGGAGAACTGGGTGAAAGTGTTGTGGTCAGATGAGACCAAAATCGAGCTCTTTGGCATCAACTCAACTCGCCGTGTTTGGAGGAGGAGGAATGCTCCCTATGACCCCAAGAACACCATACCCACCGTCAAACATGGAGGTGGAAACATTATGCTTTGGGGGTGTTTTTCTGCTAAGGGGACAGGACAACTTCACCGCATCAAAGGGACGATGGACGAGGCCATGTACCATCAAATCTTGGGTGAGAACCTCCTTCCCTCAGCCAGGGCATTGAAAATGTGTCGTGGATGGGTATTCCAGCATGACAATGACCCAAAACACACGGCCAAGGCAACAAAGGAGTGGCTCAAGAAGAAGCACATTAAGGTCCTGGAGTGGCCTAGCCAGTCTCCAGACCTTAATCCCATAGAATATCTGTGGAGGGAGCTGAAGGTTCGAGTTGCCAAACGTCAGCCTCGAAACCTTAATGACTTGGAGAAGATCTGCAAAGAGGAGTGGAACAAAATCCCTCCTGAGATGTGTGCAAACCTGCTGGCCAACTACCTCATTAAAATGCAAATGAATTTGTAACATTTTTGAAATGCGTTTTTCTGGATTTTTTTGTTGTTATTCTGACTCTCACTGTTCAAATAAACCTACCATTAAAATTATAGAGTGATCATGTCTTTGTCAGTGGGCAAACGTACAAAATCTGCAAGGGATCAAATACTTTTTTCCCCTCACTGTGTGTATATATATATATATACACATTTGGAGTAATGACAGATTGTGAGGGTATGGAGCGTTGGGTAGTGTGTGTGTGTGTGTGTGTGTGTGTGTGTGTGTGTGTGCATGCGTGTGTTGCTGCCACAGGCTGTTGACAAGACAGTGTCAAACATGAGGCCGAACATCAGCAAGACTGTAGGGGAACCCATCTGATCTGAACAACCCTTCCAACGTGAGTGAGTGACAACTCACGTACCTAACACTTTCTAGTATACACACAGCATATTGAACATGTAGACCTACAGTACTACAGCACTAAAGTACTGTCTTTCCAGACCTATTCAATCTCACCTTAAGATGAAAACGCACTCTAATGAGAGGTTAAGTCTTTTTTCAATCTGGACTCCATTTTACCAGGTAGTCCTATTAAAATGTTTTATCTGTCCTAGCTTCTGGCAGTCACACTACAGTATGCCAAGGTTATGTTCAGTTCATGTATGTATTTCCAAGTACATCCACTGTTATATCGAGTACTGTATATGTTCAAGTATGCTCAAGGTTATGTCCCATACTGTATTTCCTAGTACAACTAAGTATGTCTAGTATAATAATGTATTATTAATTTGGTGGGTGCTTATATTTGTCCTATTTCACACATGTACAATTTATACACATGTGAATTAGAAATGTATTTTTTGCATATCCCAGCTCCCCCTGAGACAACCTCAGAGAGTGTGGTCACGGCTAGGGTCAGCCATTATCAATGGCGACCCTGGAGCAATTAGGGTTTAGTGCCTTGCTCAAGGGTACATCGACAGATGTTTCACCTTGTCGGCTCGGGGATTCCAACTAACGACCTTTCGGTTACTGACCCAATGCTCTAACCACTAGGCTACGTGCTGCCAAAAATGCGAGTTCCGATACCGGGAGTTGAACCTGGGCCGCCTGGGTAAAAACCAGGAATCCTAACGTCTAGATTACTGCTAGCTAGTAGGCTTACTTCATGTTAAGCAGATGTCATCACTGAACCTATGTGAACTCCTATAAGAACAAATGAGATCTACAGTGGGGAAAAAAAGTATTTAGTCAGCCACCAATTGTGCAAGTTCTCCCACTTAAAAAGATGAAAGAGGCCTGTAATTTTCATCATAGGTACACGTCAACTATGACAGACAAAATGAGGAAAAAAAATCCAGAAAATCACATTGTAGGATTTTTAATGAATTTATTTGCATAGTTGACGTGTACCTATGATGAAAATTACAGGCCTCTCTCATCTTTTTAAGTGGGTTGGTGGGATAAGTATTTGGTCAATAACAAAAGTTTCTCAATACTTTGTTATATACCCTTTGTTGGCAATGACACAGGTCAAACGTTTTCTGTAAGTCTTCACAAGGTTTTCACACACTGTTGCTGGTATTTTGGCCCATTCCTCCATGCAGATCTCCTCTAGAGCAGTGATGTTTTGGGTCTGTCGCTGGGCAACACGGACTTTCTCCTCCCTCCAAAGATTTTCTATGGGGTTGAGATCTAGAGACTGGCTAGGCCACTCCAGGACCTTAAAATGCTTCTTACGAAGCCACTCCTTCGTTGCCCGGGCGGTGTGTTTGGGATCATTGTCATGCTGAAAGACCCAGCCACGTTTCATCTTCAATGCCCTTGCTGATGGAAGGAGGTTTTCACTCAAAATCTCACGATACATGGCCCCATTCATTCTTTCCTTTACACGGATTAGTCGTCCTGGTCCCTTTGCAGAAAAACAGCCCCAAAGCATGATGTTTCCACCCCCATGCTTCACAGTAGGTATGGTGTTCTTTGGATGCAACTCAGCATTCTTTGTCCTCCAAACACGACGAGTTGAGTTTTTACCAAAAAGTTCTATTTTGGTTTCATCTGACCATATGACATTCTCCCAATCCTCTTCTGGATCATCCAAATGCACTCTAGCAAACTTCAGACGGGCCTGGACATGTACTGGCTTAAGCAGGGGGACACGTCTGGCACTGCAGGATTTGATTCCCTGGCGGCGTAGTGTGTTACTGATGGTAGGCTTTGTTACTTTGGTCCCAGCTCTCTGCAGGTCATTCACTAGGTCCCCCCGTGTGGTTCTGGGATTTTTTCTCACCGTTCTTGTGATCATTTTGACCCCACGGGGTGAGATCTTGCGTGGAGCCCCAGATCGAGGGAGATTATCAGTGGTCTTGTATGTCTTCCATTTCCTAATAATTGCTCCCACAGTTGATTTCTTCAAACCAAGCTGCTTACCTATTGCAGATTCAGTCTTCCCAGCCTGGTGCAGGTCTACAATTTTGTTTCTGGTGTCCTTTGACAGCTCTTTGGTCTTGGCCATAGTGGAGTTTGGAGTGTGAGTGTTTGAGGTTGTGGACAGGTGTCTTTTATACTGATAACAAGTTCAAACAGGTGCCATTATTACAGGTAACGAGTGGAGGACAGAGGAGCCTCTTAAAGAAGAAGTTACAGGTCTGTGAGAGCCAGAAATCTTGCTTGTTTGTAGGTGACCAAATACTTATTTTCCACCATAATTTGCAAATAAATTCATTAAACATCCTACAATGTGATTTTCTGGAGAAAAAAATTCTCAATTAGTCTGTCATAGTTGACGTGTACCTATGATGAAAATTACAGGCCTCTCTCATCTTTTTAAGTGGGAGAACTTGCACAATTGGTGGCTGACTAAATACTTTTTTTCCCCACTGTATGTCCTAAAATGTGTGTCTATTTTTATAAACACACATACACACTCATCCTCACACACACATACAAACACCTCTAATCCTACACACACATACACACATGCACAAACTCTTGATCATCCTCTCCCAAGCAGATCTCACATACTGTACACACACACACACACACACACACACACACACACACACTCACCCACCCAGACACAAACACACACAAACACAAACACACCTTCCGTCGGTGAGTTGGCACAATGAAGAAGGTCTCGATCTGGTGTTTGAGGAGGAAGGCATTTCTCTCATGACCGTTGCCTGGCTCAACCTCATAGTCTCCATTCAGGGAGTCCAGGGTCGCCTTGGTGATATGGACCTTCCTGGTGGAGAAGGAGAAACACATACAGAGTCAGCCTCATGTGGTGCTACCTAATGCTGTTGTGCCCTAGAGCAAGGCACTTAACCCCTAATCGCTCCAGAGGTTCTGCTCACAGCCTGCATTGTGTGTTTGTTGTTGTGTGTGAAGTTGGGACAGTAGATTTTGGCATGGCATGGTGGTAACTGGTACTAACCCAGGCAGTCCCCCTGCCTCCATCACATTGGCCAGTGTGACGTCGTTGGACCATACGTCATACTGCCACTTCCTAAGTCCCAGGACCCCACACAGAACCCGGCCCGTGTGGAGACCCACACGCATGTTCAGATTCACCTCCGTGGCCTCCGCTACTGACCTGCAGGTGCATGAGGAGAGTCATTACAATATTATAACATTGATACTGTGTGTAGGTGTGTGTGATTGTGTGTGTATGTGTGTGTGATTGTGTGTGTATGTGTGTGTGATTGAGTGCGTGCGTGCGTACGTACGTACGTGCTTGTGTACCTGCCTGCGAGCCAAGTGCCAAGTCCCTAAGTGTGCCTGCATGCATGTGTGTGTGTGAGAGTGTGTACGAGTAGATGTGTGTGTGTGTGTGTGTGTACTATAGCGTTACTGTATACAAATCATGTCTTGCCTTAGCAGCCAATGTCACAAATTCCACAAATGTTATTCTTCCATGATATAAATGGTGCTGCTCCTCTTCACCTAATAATAAAGACAGACCAGGCAGCTGAGTTCTAACCTCCCTCCCTCCCTCCCTCCCTCTCTCTGGAGGAAAAAGTGCACATGTTCTGGGGAGATAAGCCAGAAGGACAAAATGGTTGCTCCTCCGGATTCTAAACTCTTTTTTTTTTTTTACGTAAGAGTGCAGACAGAGGAAAATTCCACCCATATGGAAGGAGCAGGATGAGATTTAAGAGCAATCTCTAGACTCTCAATAAACAGGGCAAAATGCTACACTGGTCACCAATAGGAATAGGAATGAATATGCATATTAATCTACCGTTAACATAAAAAGGCAAGTGTTTTCATTGTGTATTGTAGCCCTATGTGTCTGTGTATAGTCCTATATTGTCTATTTATGAATACTGACATCCTGTGTGGCCCTGTGCACATAGAGTCATATAAGACCAAGCCAATGGCCATGCATTTAACACGGAATGGGATACACCTTATTGAAGTGTTGAGCTCTTTCTTCTTTCTCCAAATTGTGCAGGACATGCAAATGAGACAAACACTTTCACGCTTCATAAAGAAGCATCCAAATGCATTTCAATTCCCTCGCCTTCAAATGAGATTCCACTCTCAACTCTATCTGCAGTCTTGGCATGTATTCATAGCAGCCAATGACAATCCACCTAAGGAATCCTTCAGCCAGGACTAACTTGAACCACAGTGGTTTAGATGAGAAGAATAGAGAATATCAAAATATCCCCAGTCTTCAGTCTGGCTTTTATCCCTGGTCAAACCAAATTAATCAATATAATGGCTGAAAGCCATGCAGCAGGCTCATTCCATAGAGCCATAAAGAGCTATGTGATATGGTGTCCATCACAACTCAATGTGTCTGTACCTACATAATACTGTCATTAACAGATGTCAACACTGACCCTAACATCACAATGACTGACGTGCTTTATCAGTCAACCATAAACATATACAGGTGATGTGTTTACCATGGACGACTTATACAACCTGGGACATAACACCACATCAGCCCAGGACCTGGCCCAGAACAGGACGTCGTGGAGAGACAAATGCCGTAGCGCTATGCTCCAAGGAGCTAGCAATGACTGAGTAAGTGTTTACCATAAACCTATAGACTCACGTGATGGTGTCGATCATGTCCAGGCCCATCTCCACACAGCAGTGGGCGTGGTCAGTCTTGGGCTGGGTCAGACCTGACACACAGTAGTAACAGTCTCCCAGGATCTTTATACGCCTACAGTGGTTCTCCTGTCAATCAGAGTGCGAGAGGGGGGTAGAGGGAGAGAGAGAGTGGAGAAAGAGAGCTATATAAAGCAGGCAGACAAAGCATTGAGGCATTCAGTTACTGTTCGTTTGAACGTTAGAATGGGCAAAACGAGTGACCTAAGCGACTTTGAGCGTGGTATGATCGCCGGTGCCAGGCGCGCCGGTTCCAGTATCTCAGAAATGGCCGGCCTCCTGGGCTTTTCACGCACAACAGTGTCTAGGGTTTACTGAGAATGGTGCAACAAACAAAAAACATCCAGTCAGCGGCAGTCCTGTGGGCAAAAACAACTAATTGATGAGAGGTCGAATGAGAATCATGCAAGCTAATGGGCAGGCCATAAACAGGCAAATAATGGAGCAGTACAACAGTGGTGTGCAGAAAGGCATCTCTGAACGCACGACTCGTCAATCCTTGTCACGGATGGGCTATTGCAGCAGACAACAACACCATGTTCCACTCCTATCAGCTAAAAATAAAAAGAAGTGGCTCCAGTGGGCACGCAATCACCAACACTGGGCAATTGAGGAGTGGAAAAACACTGCCTGGTCCGACGAATCCCGGTTCCTGTTGCGTCATGCTGATGACACTAGTCAATGGCCCCATCCTGTCTGGCGTCAAAGGTACAGGCTGGTGGTGGTGGTGTAATGGTTGCTCAATTGATACCAATTGAGCAACGTTTCCATGCCCCGAAGAATTCAGGCTGTTCTGGAGGCAAAGGGGGGTCCAACCATATACAGTATGCACTAATGTACAAATACACTATAACCTATCCGGTCCCACTTTAAACAAAGTACAATTTATAAAATCACCACATATATGCTTCACAAATAATCTATAAGCATATGTCATACTCTATAAATGGTCTATAAACATACATAGTGCTATGCTATGTCACATTTTGCAATTTACCCTACAGTTAGAATTGTTATGTCCTTATGACTATTATTTGATTTGTTAAGCACCTTGAAATGCATCTGTTGTAACAATGGTTTATGTAAATAAAGTTTGATTTGATTTGATGTCACCCTTTATACACCATTTGTAAAGTATCCCATTTGCTTATAGATGATTTGTGAAGCATTTATGTAGTGCTTATGAAGCCTTTATGTATACTATATAAAGCCTTTATAAGTTGTACTTAATTCAAAGTGGGACTGCATATCCTGTAGGCTACTATGTGTGATGTACACACTAATGTGAACATATAGTATATTGCAAGATGTACTGTACAGTACAATTCCAACTTAAATAAGGAAATGCTTCTAAGTGCAGAACCACAAGAGTCCCCACTCCATCATATCATATGATCAGTGTTGTAGTCGTTTGTAGGTGAGTCACACCGCCTGCCTGCCGGCTGGCTGCCTGGCATGATGTGAAGCTGTGCTCTGTTCTGGGATGAAAGGAGCAGTGGAAGTATAACCCATCATTAAGGATCTGTGAGCCACAGAGATCACTGTGAGCTAGCTGAGATAGGGCTGGGGGCTGGGCTGCTATGGGGTAATAAGATATCCCGGCTCCCATTGTTTCTCCGTGGAAGGGATGTGATCGTGGACTGAGCAGAGCATGTGAACTAAAAAAACGAAAAGACTCATAACTATGCAGTGCATCTCTCAGTGTGCCACGGAAAGAAGAAAGTGGATATGGAAGCTCGATTTTTAAAATGCAAGTCTATTTGTGTTGAATGAGAGAGAGAGAGAGAGAGAGAGAGAGAGAGAGAGAGAGAGAGAGAGAGAGAGAGAGAGAGAGAGAGAGAGAGAGAGAGAGAGAGAGAGAGAGAGAGAGAGAGAGAGAGCTCAAAGACATTGCTCCTGCATTTTTCAGCATATTTTTACAAAAAATATAGATTTAGAGTTAGATAAACTTGGATTTTTTGGCTGGGACATATACAGGATGCTACCCTCCACAACATAACCTTCATTCCAAACCAAAACTCCAAACCTAGAACCTGATTTTGGACAGAATTACCTGGAAGGCTTTCTACCACCAAGGATTACTATTCCCAAGCTATACAGCAAATGCTCTGGCAAACAAACAGAAACCTGAAAACATCATCCAAGCTGGAACTGAGTGAGTAATGTTTAGTCGGAAGCTATTTTTTTACTTTCAAAAACCAATAAGAAAAATACATTACAATGTTATATTTTACTTTATAAGGACTGAATGCTAAGGCTACCAAACTTGCTAGTACAAAGAGATACAACTTCAATTAGCACTGACGTGTAAAGTGAGAGGTGTCAAAGTACTTGAGCCCAACAATGGCAAAATGAAGCTCCTTATGGGAAATCAGGAGACAATTTTTGCTGACTTTTACAGACCATCCCCTGGCATGGCACAGTGCTATACGAGCACACTACCCCTCTGTTAAGGGGGGGGGGGGGGGGGGGGGGGGTGTTAGCGATGGATGGAAACTCAGGATACTAGACAACGAGGACTCTGAGTCAGCTAATATAAATCTCTATAAATCTGGAACAGTATTGGTACAGGGCAACCCCAAACAGTTCCAGCTGGACTTCCACCTAATCAAAGAAATAGCTCAGCAGGAGAAGCTCTCCCTTGAGAAAGATACCCCCACCCCGAGTGGGTCAGACCAGACCTCTTCATTAAATAATCCCACAGACGAGCAACCCCAAGCGGAAAGTCAACTTCCCAGCACAGAGTACTGCTGGAACAGCAGGTGACTACACTCCAGTCAGCACAGACCCAGACAACGGTTCAGCACAACACCCCCTTAACTAGACCTGGAGAGCTGGAGGGGGAGAGAGGCATATCTGCACTCTGGACTGTGGTGATACAACATCAACAGGAGAAAGAGCAGGAGCAGGAGAAGAACAGAGCACTAGAGGAGAGGATCAGAGTGCTGGAGGAGAAGGTGAGAACGATGACGGGTGACAGAGAATAACTCATTAGAGAGCTGGCCACCCCCGCAGAAAAGCCAGCAGAACAGCCCACCTCAGATCCTGGCCAAAGTCTCGACACCGCAGCAGAACAGTACACCCTAGACCCTGACCATTGCCTCGACATCACAGCCAGACAAACAAATGAAGAATGCCAAGCCCAGGGGATCCCAACCCCTCTGAGCACCCCCCCTGTCAGCCACCCTGATAGCCCTCCTGACGACCCCCCCACACCCACTGAGGACATACACAAGCCATAGATTGTACTCCTTTTGGACTCAAATGGGAAATACATACAAGAAAATAAACTTTTTCCCAAACACACAGTGTCTAAACTCTGGTGTCCAAACACCCAGCACGCCCTAGACCGTCTGAGGACCAACTAGGATCACCCAGCCACATAACAATACACACAGGCACAAACGACCTGAGAACACCAGGACTGATCACCCCAATACATAAAAGAGGAGACAAATTTGACCCCAATAACTACCGTGGGAAAATCCCCTGCATTATCATTAACAGCAGACTAGTTCATTTCCTCAGTGAAAACAATGTACTGAGCAAATGTCAAATTGGCTTTTTACCAAATTACCGAAAGACAGACCACGTATTCACCCTGCACACCCTAATTGACAAACAAACAAACCAAAACAAAGGCAAAGTCTTCTCATGCTTTGTTGATAAAAAAAAAGCTTTTGACTCAATTTGGCATGAGAGTCTGCTATTCAAAATGATGGAAAGTGGGGTTGGGGGAAAAACATACGACATTATGAAATCCATATACACAAACAACAAGTGTGCGGTTAAAATGGGCAAAAAACACAGTGCCGTGGGGTGAGACAGGGATGCAGTTTAAGCCCCACCCTCTTCAACATATATATCAACGAATTGGCGAGGGCACTAGAACAGTCTGCAGCACCCGGCCTCACCCTACTAGAATCTGAAGTCAAATGTCTACTGTTTGCTGATGATCTGGTGCTTCGGTCACCAACCAAGTAGGGCCTACATCAGCACATAGATCTTCTGCATAGATTCTGTCAGACCTGGGCCCTGACAGTAAATTTCAGTAAGACAAAAATCATGGTTTTCCAAAAAAGGTCCAGTTGCCAGGACCACAAATACAAATTCCATCTAGACACCGTTGCCCTAGAACACACATAAAACTATACATACCTCGGCCTAAACATCAGCGCCACAGGTAACTTCCACAAAGCTGTGAATGATCTGAGAGACAAGGCAAGAAGGGCCTTCTATGCCATCAAAAGGAACATAAAATTTGACATACCAATTAGGATCTGGCTAAAAATACTTGAATCAGTTATAGAACCCATTGCTCTTTATGGTTGTGAGGTCTGGGGTCCACTCACCAACCAAGAATCCACAAAATGGGACAAACACCAAATTGAGAATCTGCATGCAGAATTCTGCAAAAATATCCTCTGTGTACAACGAAAAACACCAAATAATGCATGCAGAGCAGAATTAGGCTGATACCCGCTAATTATCAAAATCCAGAAAAGAGCCGTTAAATTCTATAACCACTTAAAAAGAAGCGATTCCCAAACCTTCCATAGCAAAGCCATCACCTACAGAGAGATTAACTTGGAGAAGAGTCCCCTAAATAAGCTGGTCCTGGGGCTCTTTTCACAAACACAAACAGACCCCACAGAGCCCCAGGACAACAACAACAACACAATTAGACCCAACCAAATCATGAGAAAACTAAAAGAGAATTACTTGACACATTGGAAAGAATTAACAAAAAAACAGAGCAAACTAGAATGCTATTTGGCCCTTAACAGAGAGTACACAGTGGTAGACTACTTTGTGGTAGACTACTACTGTTTTGTGTTGGAGCTACGTACTTCCCTCCAGTGTTTTGGAGAGGTTTTTCGCACATGTTAGTGCGCCGTTTGTTTGACGCCTGTGTGCGCCGTTATTTCGCCTTCGGGCTTATTGTGCTTATTTTCTACGTGAATATTGCACTAAAGTCTTTTGGACTGAGCTTCTGCATCCTGCGCTTGATTCATGCACCACACCCACCTTCAGCACCCCTTGACATAAAGCCCTTAAATTGAAATTGAATTGAGAGTGAGAGAGAGAGAGCTTGTTAGCTGCTTAAAATATGGTTTCACTTTCCATAATTTTACCTACAGGCTACACTCACTTTGTTATTGCTCAGTGGTACTGAGGCGTATTTCTTTCAAGTCAGATACTGTCTTAAAAAAATATACATTAAAAAAAGGAAATTCTGTGTTTTGATATGAGCTTTTACAGCAATAATGAATGATGAAAATAATGACGGAAAACTCTGATTCTTCTAACGGACAAAATCATAATTCATCATGAATCAAATCAAATTTTATTTGTCATATGCGCCAAATACAACAGGTGTAGACTTTATCGTGAAATGCTTACTTACGAGCCCTTTCCCAACAATGCACTTAAAAAGTAAGAAAACGAGCAAATAAATATAGAAAATAGTAACAAAATAGATAACAATAACGAGGCTATATACAAGGAGTACCGAGTCAATGTGCAGGGGTACGAGGTAGTTGAGGTAATATGTAGGTAGTGGTAAAAGTGACTAGCCAATCAGGATATATAATAAACAGAGTAGCAGCAGCATATGTGAAGCGTATAAAAAGATGTGTATGTGTGGAGTCAATATGTATGAGTGTGTGTTTTGTGTGTATGAACAGAGTAGCAGCAGCATATGTGAAGCGTGTAAAAATATGTGTATGTGCGGCGTCAATATGTATGTGTGTGTGTTTTGTGTGTATGAGCGTAGGCAGTGTGAGTGTTTGGGTAGAGTCCAGTGAGTGTGCATAGAGTCAGTGCAAGAGAGCCAGTGCAAAAAAGGGTCAATGCAAATAGCCCGGGTACACATTTGATTAACTCGAGAACCTAGCAAAAATCTTTTCATTTATCTGACTTTCATTTGAATGAAGTTGAAGAATGGGACTAATAACAACTAACAACAACTAATAACAACAAGATAACTAATGTAAAGCTTACTGTGTCCATAATAGGTATATAGGCTATAGGTTGAAAGCTTTTGTGAAAGAGCACAGTTAGAAAGATATGGCATATACAGTGAGGGAAAAAAGTATTTGATCCCCTGCTGATTTTGTATGTTTGCCCACTGACAAAGAAATTATCAGTCTATCATTTTAATGGTAGGTTTATTTGAACAGTGAGAGACAGAAAAACAACAACAAAATCCAGAAAAACGCATGTCAAAAATGTTATAAAATGATTTGCATTTTAATGAGGGAAATAAGTATTTGACCCCTCTGCAAAACATGACTTAGTACTTGGTGGCAAAACCCTTGTTGGCAATCACAGAGGTCAGACGTTTCTTGTAGTTGGCCAGCAGGTTTGCACACATCTCAGGAGGGATTTTGTTCCACTCCTCTTTGCAGATCTTCTCCAAGTCATTAAGGTTTCGAGGCTGACGTTTGGCAACTCGAACCTTCAGCTCCCTCCACAGATATTCTATGGGATTAAGGTCTGGAGACTGGCTAGGCCACTCCAGGACCTTAATGTGCTTCTTCTTGAGCCACTCCTTTGTTGCCTTGGCCGTGTGTTTTGGGTCATTGTCATGCTGGAATACCCATCCAC